CATTGTGAACGTCCGTCATCAGAATCGACAATCCATCATTACAACTTGGTCTTGCAGGGCTCATTAAGAGCTATTCAGTCGCATCTGCCTATCTTCTGCTTGGTACTCGCGCGTTGGACTAGACATGCAGTTTCTGTCCTTGTCTCCAGATCTATCATCTGGAAAAATATAATAAATCAAGCAGACTGGAAATAAGACACCTGCAACAGGCAAGTTTTAATACAGGTAAACAGCTGCATTGAATAAAACAGTGCCATATGGTGGGCCTACTGAGACCTACATTTAAGGATGAGCATGATGTTTGTCCATTCACCTGTGTCTTATTAAATAATATAGAGGACAGTTTGATATGTTCCAAAGTAGGAAAAGTACAAAGTGATACTAATAAAATTAACAGTGGTTCTGTTCTGTTCAATGACCTTGCAAGCTATGACAGCGTGAGTGAGCCAGCATGCACACAATAGACGTTTTCTACAGCAGATTTTTGACTTGTCATATTAGGAAACAAAGGTGTAATTAAAAACATTTCATAACAACAGATTTAGATCAGACAGTTCCAGGGTGCCGGTATAACTGTCTCAGCTCACTGGAACACTTAACGGCACTGAGCCTCCTTGGAGAAATTTGTTTGACCTGTGCTTTCCCTCCTATGACAAGTTAAAACATCTGTTGTGAAAAAGGTCTGTACCAGGATTCTGAAACTGAAGCTGGTGAATTCAGTTATAATGCTTTTTGTCTCCTCCACTTCTCGTTTTCCTTCTGTGATATGTTCAAATTTCTACTGTGAATTATTGGTTATCCTGCAGACCCTTTGAATGAAAACAGGAGACTGTTTTCTGGCAGAAGAACATTTCTCTGTGTCCCCTACATAGCCTCACAATACAACAGGATCAATTTGCAGGGCTGCTCTTTTGTTCTTTTTTGAGCATTTTTTAGTTCTCCTGAAATGGCACATTTGAAGCACATCTGGAATATTGTAATATGGGTTCAGTGAGAGGAGAAACACACCGGGCTCTTTTTTCTTTTCCAGTCTTATGACTGACCCTCGTGGCATACTTTACACTCTCTACAGGTATAGCTAAAGATACATCAGTAAAAAATCAGCAATGTGATATTGAGTGCTTAAAAAAGTAACAATTTAACTCAAGTTACTGTCCTCTTAACTACATTAACGTTTACTTGAGTATTTCCTCTTTATGCTACTTTACAGGTACACTAACAGATTATGTTAAATATTAGTAGTGGAAATATTTGGTGCTACATTCCATTTGACTTTGAAGAACTCAGATTGACATGCAAAACATGATCAGTTTATTAAAATATGATGCAACTGTTAGTACTATTCAACTGTATATGACAGTGCGACACTTGAAATGCTGCTTACACATTAATGCATCAATGTTATAGCTTTAACAATGATGTCAATAGCCGTTTTTTGACAGAAAAACTAAAGTCGATGACTTGCTGAAGCCATTAATCACGAAGAAATGCCAAACATCTCTCTGAATCAAGTTTTCTCAATCGTCAAGAGTCAATGTTTAAAATTGATTAACCAAAAAATTATAAATATTATTGATAATCAACATTGCAGCCCTGTAATACATACATCATCATAATAAAATTTTTTAATACTTTCTGTGCAGAAGTCACATTTTGAATGAGTATTTTTTAAGTATTTTTACATTGTGGTATTGCTACTTTTATTTAAGTAAGAATCTGAGTAATTCTTCCACCACTGTGGTAGTATGTACAGTATCTATATAGTCTGAGATTTTTATTTGTCATATTATCATGAATTCAATAAGTTATCTTTTTTCTGGTTTTAAAAGTCTGCATAAGAGTTTAATAAGAATAATTCCCATTAATGACCTGTTTGATGTGACTGGGTCTTCTGAGGTTCACCAAGTTAAATTAAAGGACGTTTTAATACCTTTTTAATGTATATAGAATGAACAGTTATTATCCTGTTTCACATTCATACCTACTAAAGTATGAATAACATCAATGAAAACCAGTGGGGATGGTATGGACTGGAATTATTGACCAAGGACATGAATTTATAAAATCAGAGGTCTGGAAAAAATAGCACTGTGGATTTTCCAGAAAGGTTGTGCAAAATTAGGTACATTTTAGTAACAATTACTGACTAAGGCAGGGTATTCCAAATATTCAAGACCTTTGTAAATTAAATTAAACACTTATTAATACTTAAGAGGTCCTTTCTTTGAAGAAACAAGACTTTTAAGACCTGCAGTCACACCAGATATATCATCACAAGTCAAAATATGAATAAGGTCGGTAGAGTGTTGGGGTCCAAATCTGTATACAAGCTTAGTCCTACCAGTGGGCAAGGCTGGATTACCAACCAGGCAAAGAGGGAAACCACCCAGGGGCCCAAAAGCCTCAGGTTTACTCCATATCATTTGGGGCTACATAATTTGTATAATAGCAAATAGATCAGAACTGTTTGATTAAAAATATAAACTACGACCAGGTCAGCCATCCTCCATCTTGTGGGTCTGGTCTTGTAGAGGGGCCCCATGTCATAATCTAGTTTTATGTTTAATCAAACTGCTTCCATTTTCTGTGCATTAACACACAGAATCACAGAAAAAATGAAAGCAGTTTGATGATGGAACACAGGGAATGGTTTTATTCAGTCCAACTAACAATTATTTTCATGATCAATACATTCTGACAATTATTTTTCATTTTCATGCTCAGTATATGAAATGTCGACTAAAAAGAGAAAAACAACATATCAACATATTCAAATTGCTTGTTTTATCTGTCCAACAGTCAAAAAAGCCACAGATGTTGAGCTTTACTAAGATTAAAAAAAAAACTTGCCAATTAATTTACTGTCAATCACCTATTTGATGAATCATCTTAATAGTTTCTGGGGTGCTACTTGGGTTCCAGGCGCCTGATGAAATGATGAAACATGTACAGTGGGGGTCAATGAGAGCCCAACAACAAGATTTTGCCCCGGGGCAACCTTGGAGATTTAACTGGCTATTGCCAAACTCGTGGTAAACACACTGCACTGCTGCAACATGGGAAATTTCAAGTGTGGTAGCTTAAACATCTAAAGTTTGAATAAGTAGCTTGGCATGATTTAATACAAAAGGAGGGTCAGAAAGTGTTAAATGCAAATCAGACGAGCAACGTAACAAGTTTTGACACTGAACAGGTACATCCGGAGGCTAACGGCTAATAGCCATCAAGCTAGCTGGATACCAAGTTAAAACTAAGGCTGTCGAATAGACACTCAATTTGTCATTTTACACTCACAGAAAGTCTCTTTTCCTATCCTCACGTGATCATGATCCACTCCATGACGCCTCCGATGCAAGAAGATAGGTAGGAACCTGTACGTCCCAAGACGACGTTTACCTGGGACCAGGCTCAATACATATTTTAGGTTTTTACTCCTGTGAAACATCATGACTAACGGACAAACAGAGTCGTGTGTTGTTAACTGTTTACGGCACCGTGGCGAAACTCTGGAGGTAAGTAAGGACAGAGGAGCACGGACCTTTTACATGTCCTCTACAATATTATGAAAGCAATGGACGCGAGAGGGTGCGCTCGTTGTGTGATCTGGCGTAAAGCAAATGAGCGGAGTAAGTCTGGATAGTTGAGAAAAACCGGTGGCAGCTCGATATTGGAATTTAAAACAAACGCACCCACACAGAGTCGTATTGCTTGCGTTCATGTCATATCGTTTAAACCGGAATTATGAGCAGAGGACTGGGAAAAACTTTAATGAAAGCCAGCGTCCGGTTCCTAATTCTGATTTGGGGATAAAGGAGTTTCATCGGGGACACCGATGAAATTAAACATACACATGTCATGTTACATCAAAATAAAATCCAGTATTTATATTAACACGCCGGATCTGGCTACCTTTATTAGAGATATACACTACTTGTTTTGTGTCTGATTTGACTTGGTAAGGAACTGCTACAAAATACGCAGTTTAGGCTGTTTTGTGTGTGGTGGGGTGGCTCAAGGTTAGCCAAGCAGAATAAAGGGTGCTTTACTTAATACTATTTGCCGACATTCAGTGAATACAGCATAACATCCGGTTGTGTGTGTCTGTGTGTGTGTGTGTTGTGTGTGTGTGTGTGTGTGTGTGTGTGTGTGTGTGTGTGTGTGGTTAATGGAGATATAATTTGGAGATAATATGATGAAATGTATGCGTTGTGGTTTAATTATTAAACCACTAACACTGTAAGATTAATGTAAAAGATACAGCTAAACAAGGGTTTAAAGGTCACATAACGTTAATAATTTTGATATTATAATTTTTTTCTGAGCACAAATTAGTGAAATATTTGCATTATAATAGTCATAAAACTGATTCATTTTTTTAAAAATAAAACAGAATTTTGAATAATAATAATATCATATATAATAATAATAATAGTAATAAATAATAATAGGTGTTCCAGAGACATTGTGGCCTTTTTTCTGCATAAGTAACACGACAGAAATAATATAGGTGTGTTTAAATAAGATTACGGTCACCATAGCCTGGCTTCCTTGAAAGTTTGTATATAAATAAGTGGCCACTGGTTCAGTACTGACACAGCAAAATATAGTCTTTGTGGTCAATGTTGAATTGCTGAAATTGGATGTTTCTGTTTGAAAGCTTTTGGTCTATAAATTCCTGCCAATTACTGAGAAGTGATGCAAGGTTAAATCAATGTATTGATTGATGAACTCAGAGTGTGTCGAAATCAACTTTGGACATGAATTCTCACATCAAAAACTGTGGCGATTGTGGCCCAGCATCCATAGGATTTATATAATTTATTTAAGGATTGCATTAATGATATATGATAAAATCATCAAGATGTTTTATTAAAGACAACAAACTACAAAAAGGTTGGAGGGAATTGTTTTGTTTCTTTTTTTTAATTTGATTTATTTTATTATTCAGGAATTACCCATCTCAAATTTCTTTTAAACAGCTTTTGATGGGCAATGGGGGCTCATGTCCAACATGCCAAGTCTAATGCCTTCTCTACTGAAATTCAATAAATAATCTACAAAGTAGGTCACTAGGTGGAAATCAAATGGTGCTGTAGAGTTGCATTGGCATACAAAAGAAAAACACATATAAACAGTAAGTGTGTGAGAAAGTAGTTCAACACCGTTGGCAAATTCTTTCAGTGCTTTGCAATAAGTACTCTCATAAACACATTCATTTTCACCCAATTAATTATTAAAACTGCAATTACAAAAACATTTTGTTCCCAGCATTTAATTTACTCAAAGAAATTAGTTTTCTAGCACAAAACATTATTGAAAACAACATTAGCAGCCATCTTTAATTTGTGCTTTACAGCAGAAAGTAAGTGGTAGGAGGTAGTCCAACTGGCAGCACGGCACATGTAAGACAGAGCTCTTCATTTGTATCACCATCATAAATGTTACTTATGTAACTTTGCCAGAAGACATTTTGCTCCCCATTGTAAAAACGTATGCTGCATTATTCTGACGATGCTAAATTAGCTTCCGATTTCTGCCAATTCTGCTGTTGAAGTGAAAAATAATTTACAATACTGAGCAACCAATTTGCACCACTTATGGTTGTGAAAATGTGTCAGACATCCAATTAATGGCTTAATGCCATTTGAAACCCACTTTCTTTCTGAATCCTTTATTGTTTTTAATGAAAGCAAAAAAGGGATGATTTGATTGTGTTCTCTGTCCTGACAACATAAGTCCAGATCAAAAACCTTTATACTTAGACTGGTAGAATGTACACTGGTAGTGTTTTTTTTGTCAGTGTGTTGTGTTATTCACACAGATTGTGATTAAAAAGTAGCTCTCAACATTTTTGTGAACTTGGGTACATACAGTTGTAAAGTGCTTCGCAGCTGTTGGATGTTAGAATAGCTGCAACACCATATGAGCTCTAGCACAAAATGTCACAGAGTTAAGGTGAAAAATTAAACTATAAAGAAAAATTTAATGACTGACAAATACACAAATGGGTTTATTTTGGCTGGGATGACCAAACACATCACTGTTGATATGAGCTCTAAAGTGTAACAGTATGACATCATACTGCAAAGCACACACAGCAAATACATATACATATACAAGACCATCAGACACATGCATCAACTACTAGGGTCTTTAGAAATAGTACCATACTTGAGATAATAAAGAGCTAAAAGACTAAGTTTAAGATCTACTGTCAACTCACCAGAAAGTAATTGGGCTAAAGACAATTATAATTTATTATCATTATCATTATTTTTAAAAAGTACACTCCTGACTCCTTGGGATCCAAAACTCTCTTTTTGTCTCTAGTCCAGAATGTGGCTTAAGCTGTGACCAAGACATCTTTTATAATCTCTTTTTTACTTTTTTCATCCAATTGTGGTCTACACTTAAATTCATGGATACGTGTTCACACTCACTTTATTACTGACTTTGAGATAAACGGTTGTAGTTATTGGAAGCACACTAAATCACAATTATTCCTGTAAAAATCAATGTACCCCCATTTTTACCATCATTGGGGTATAATATAGTGTCCCTAAATTAATAAAATCATAACTACAGGGTCTTTCTACTTCATAAAAAAAAAAAAATTGTCTTTGTTTTATAACCTCAAAGGATTAATCATTTTTCAAGAAATATCAAATATGTAACACATAAAAGAAAGTGTTATACCACGATAACACTGTATTTATATTAACTGTCTGGACTTTGAAGTTTGTACACTGTAACACATTGATTAAAATAAGAAAAAAAATCATTATTAGTGATACATTACTGAAACAGAGGTCAATTTGTTCTTTTTTGATGATGATTTGTGTAATATAAAAAGACAAATGTCACCCACAATTGTGCTCTAACTCAGTCTTCAACTTTGTGAGCTGGTCTACAGAAAGTCCAGTGATGCTCCACTGTGTTCTCGTTTGCACGCTCACTCATGTGATGCACACGCGTGTTCCTGATGGTGAAGCCTTGTTTCATAATGTAGTCCATGAGGTGAACCCTTAAGGACACCTCTTGGTGATAGTCACATGGTCCGAATGTGAACGACACCTGGCAGTCTCTAGTGTCCATCATGTGTTTGTTCCACTTGGTGAAGTTGTTGGAAATACCTTCCAGCAGGGCGTGAACCTTCGTAGTAATGGTTAGCTGTGTGATAATAACAGCGACTGGGTTTGAATATTTCGACAGTTTCCGAGTGCTAGAGAGCTCCACGACCTGCTCGAAGATGTCTGGAGGGTACAGCGGCTTTGGATCGCTAAGGCACTGGATCAAAGGTTCAATCTGGTAGAAGTCCGCCTCTTTCCTCAGGAGGTCTGTCTCTGTGAAATCCACAGGGAGGGTGAGCTCGGACGTCCGCAGGAAGTTCAGGATGTACCGGAAAAGTGTTCCATCACGATCGATGAAATAATTCCCTTGGGAGTCGCGAGTTGTGGGGAAATCTCCCCTGAACATGGCACCCAGCATGGAGTCTGGATAGCGTTGTAGGGTGGATAAACTGGTGGTGTACAGGTGGCCTCCCACGTTCAAGGTAACAGGAGTAGTCATCTAGGGCAAAAAGGAGCAGAAACAAGTTAACAACATGTTTTTGTGAAGCTAAAGTGAGTCAGTTTAAATACTGCAGCTGTAGACAATAACATTAACATTGTGAATTTCACCTGCCAAATAATCAGCTACAACTGGCTGGAAGTTAAACAGTCTAATACAACAGCCCTGCTGTAGTTGTTGCTGTGTTGTTGAACTGTGTTGCATTTAAGTGAGAATTTTTTAATATTATGTCGATAATATTTAAATGAATGAGAAAAATATTAGATATTAAATATAAAAATATATTAAATATAAGAAACACCCTTCTTTATACACAACACCATTCAAAAGAATGACTACATCCTACATCCTTAAAACAATTTCAACAGATTTTAGGGTAATGCTCATACAATTCAAAATTTTACATCATTACTACTGGACCCCCATTAGGTTATATAGAAAATATATAGCTATATTTTAAAAGATTCTGCAGCCTGCAGTGGAGATGAGAGTACACTTGTATGTCCACTGTGGACATGCCCAAAATCCAAGAGTCACTGCTGTACTGTTAATATCATATGTGTCAGTTTTGTATTCTGTCCAAAACTTATATTTCAGGAGATATCTCTATCTATCCATCTCTTACCCTATGGCCCCAGTCTCCATTATCCATTTGTAGAACAATACCCACTTGGTCAGAACCAAAATAAAAAGGGAACAGATATGGTTTCAGTCTCACCTGTGAAAAAAAAAACACTCACATTAACATGAGCTCTTACTAAATTATGCATAAAATGAGGGTCATGGTCAAATCATGTGTTTTCCAGAACAGATATGAGCTTGTGGTAACGTGGTGTGTTTTACATGAGTAATGTTCTACCTGGGAGCCGGTTTACTGAGAGGGTGTTGCTTGCTTTGTGGGTTAAATAAACATACTGTATCCAAACATTTGTTATTCCCAGTCATGTGGTGTGAGTTATCTTATTAGAGCTGCAAAATTCAATGTTGGCAACTATTTTGATAATCAAATAATTGTTGGTCGTTTCTTTAAGCAAAAGGGCCAACATCTGTTAGTTCCAGCTGAAATGTGAAGTTTTATACAGAGAAAAAACTGAATATTGGTCAGAAAAAAACAAGAGATATGAAGACATCACATTCTGCTCTGGGAAATTTTCACAGGCATTTTTTTTTTTTTTTACATTTTATTGACAAAATGGTTAATTGAGAAAGTCACTGGCTGATTAACTGATAATGAAAATACATTTTCCTCATGCTTGCTGATAAAGCAGAAGTCTCTATTTGTCTATATTTGACAAAACAATCTCACCACAAGATCCACTTAGAAGCCTTTTGGGAACTTTCAGTCATATTACATTTAAAATGAAAAACTTTAAACCTTGAATCGAAACCAAAGTTAGAGCTACAACAATTGATTACTTTCATTATTGATATTGATATCTTTTTTTAACGTAACACCAGTCCAAAAAACATCAAAACCGAAAATGATTAATTTGTTGTAGATTAAAATTAACAGATCAACAGTTTTACTTTGTGTGCTCAGAAAAAAAAATTCCATTACAATCCATTACAACTAACAAACTATCTGGTGCTGAAGAAAATGTGCTATGATTGAAAGCTTCACAATAGCTACTAAATTAGATTATTTTGTCAACTTTTGTTTCCATGGTGTAGAATAAACTGTGTGCGAGTGCGCACGTTCATCGGTCAGGGGCAGAAACCATAAATACTTCCTCTGTAGTGAAAATGAAACCTGTCTCTACTGAGTGAACATAAACCCACTGAGTTAGATTTTCTGAGTTAGTCAGACAGCAGCAGCGCGACTGAACTATCCAAATCAAGCCAGCTAATGTTTGTTTGATAGCCACTGTTCAAAGTAGCTTCCAGCCTCAATGCATTTCACTCTCTGTTGTAAAGCAAACTGGCTAACGAGCTGGTACCGCAAGCGACAAAATGCAGTTTTAAAGATCGACGTTATTAAGTAGTAAATCCAGCTTGGATGCACTGGGGTATGTCGCGCTAAATACAACGTGAGCATCACACTAGAAATGTTTATCTTGGACTGCTAGCTGATTGCTACTCGCTCGCTAACTAGCATGCTAAACTGGCTAGTAGCCTGAGCCATTAACGTTAGCTCCTGTTCCTACTAAGGTTAAGACCGGGGTCTTAATTAGACTACCTGGAAGTAAAGTAGACTTGAAAAGAAAGCCGTACCTGTCCTCTTCCTTGCCTACTCGACTTGTTTTGTCCTGTAACAGCGGCCTGCAGTTGGCATTTACCGGTGCAGTCAGATAGTTATTGATGTTTGCCGCTGGTCTCACCGGGCAGCTGTGCTCGGCTCCAGGCTGCAGCAAAACTGCGCATACAAGGAGGAGGAGGATGGGAGGAGGTCCTGCTGCAACCACAGGCACCTCTGCATGAATACAACCATTCACACATCTGCACACAGCCACATACAGATACATGCATGGGACTTTTATTATCATGATCCAGATTACATTATAAATAAAATGCGTTTCTAAGAAATGTTAGAATATTACTAAATAAACCTTGCCTACTGCCTTAAATATATATATATATATTTTACAAGTGTGGACATCTGTGCTCATATGCATGTCAAGCATACGGAACACACGAAGCATTACAACAGAAGAAAATTATTAAAATTCTTTTGTTCAGGAAGATTTCTTAGTGCCACCCCTGGCATCTTGCTGCAAAACAATGAACTCCAGGATGAGTTTGGCCGTCCGACAGGGCCTCTCCATCACCACAGAGTGGCCACAGTTCTCCAGCAGGTCCACTCGGCATCCAGGCAACACCTCTGCAATGACTGTAGCTCCAGAGACATCCACCACCTATAACAGATAATATAATAGATAATTATCATGTCTGTATGTACTGTAGGTATGAGACTGAAGTTTCTCTATTCAGACATTAATCTTCAGCAGCATCAGGAAAATTCAATAGCATAGTTATTATTTAACAGTACATCCTGTGTTAAGTCTAGTCAGTCACTCTGAGTGTAGCAGGATCTAGTCCTGTTTTCAGTTTTAATGCTGGGGATACATTTTTGTATGGATTGTGCCTTTAAATTTCATTATGCTACTAATATGTTGCAACAGGCTGAGCTAACACTTGTCTGACACAAATTTACATGAATTCTGCAACAGAACCTGATTTCAGCAACTGTCTTTTGTCACTGAGTCTAGTAATCCCTTCTCAGTGTTGAGTAACATGACTTTCCCCTTTTGACTCATGCCCTGAATATAATCAGGACCTAAAAACTGCAATGTTCTTCATAGTAAAAACTTCACACCGTAATCATGTTGAGAAAACATGCTGAAATATGCTAAGATTTTAGATTGTGCATACTGTATGTACAAGGCCTAGATTTATCTGCTACACCACTGAACATCATAGTTACCTGGTCTTGTTTGCCCCATATCACTTGTAAAGGTGCAGTGATCAAGTGTAAGTGATCCTGTAAGGCATATCTTGATTTCTCACCAACAATCTCCATAAACACTAATAAAAAAAGAAACAAAATTACTGGTAGATCACATGGACTACATTATGCTTACATGGGAACTCCTTTTTTTTCATACCAGTGAACTAACCTTCTTGGTAAAATGTGTTGTGAGGCTCCCGAACATCTACCAATCCTTGAAGAATCTAAACGAACAAACAAACAAACAAACAAAAAAACACATTTAAACAACCAAAAAAAGGAAGCAAACTTTGAAAATATTGAGCAAGGTGAATATTATTCTGTACCTTTTTGGGTGATCATAGACACATTTTATGATTATGATCCATTGTGAAATTCCTAATGCTGTCAATTTCATGTGTGGAACTGACCTGCTGAGGGATTTTGAAGCGAACGTGGGAACAAAGTCTGAACATGTCCTCCATCTCTTCGGGTGTAGTGGGGATCAGCGGGATGTTTAATGTGTAATTGCTGTGCTCCAGGTCCTGCAGATGGTTGTCAAATTTGGTCTCACATGGATGTCTTATACCTGCAGATTAAAATGATGCACACTCACGATATATAGCATGAACCAATGGCACATAACCCAGTGTTTATAACTTAAGCTAAGTTGTAATGTATGTCCCTAGATGGGCCTTTGAAATACACAATACGCAACAATAAAAAACATACACAACAGCACAAGGCACAAACAATGCACAAAACACAATGATACCATAAAAGTACCATAAGGCGACAACCACCAGATCATGTATGACTACATGACTGATCCCTCTGTCTGATCCCAACTGTTTCTGTTTAAAGTTTGAGTTTAAAATGATCTCAGTCATGATCGAGTTCTGAGCTGTCTGTCCAAATGAGGATTTACAAAAGGGCGCCTTACAGTTCCTGGTGGATACACCTCGTGTTCTTGAGCCAGAAACCCTGAGAGGAATCACCAGGTCACTGAGCACCTCAGGGGCCTGATTATTTAGACATTTTTAGATGAGTTTAATATTAGCAAATGTAATGCAATGGTCTAAACTCAACATATTTCATTTATTAAGAGAATGTGTTTTTATTGGCTTCCTGTCCAACATTTTTATTGCAATTACTGTATACTCAGTTGGCAATTCATTATGTACACATAACTAAAACTAATGCAGTCTAATCCAACAGTCCTACAATAAATTTTCTTTCATGAAGGTTATAATGTTCAGTTTTCATTAAATTGTTTTAGATTCATGTAGATTGAACTGTGGGATCATTTTGAAGGTTGTAGTTTAAAGTTCTGTTGAACTGTATTGTATAATACAGAGAGGTGTTTCTCTTATTTAGCTCACCCTCAGTGATGTAAATAAGGTAGATAAAATAATAGAAACACTGGCCCCTATAACGCAATACAACTCAACAACACCACAAATTGCAGCCTCCAAAATGACCATAAAGTTGAATCCGCACCTCTCTATTACAGCTTTAAACACGCACATACAGTGACTGACCGTCTGGGCAAATGAGAGTCATGCTACAGATTTCTGAGGGATAGCAGGCCGCGTAAACCCCGGCTACATTTCCTCCCATGGAGGTTCCCACCAGATGGAAAGGTTTCCTGTTCAAGCGAATGGTTTCCACAAACTGAGAAGAATGAGGGACAAAAATAAAATTTCAGGGGAATGATTTAGGGACCTGACATACATAATACATATATTTCATACAGTAACTCTCTCTTCAGTGTACCTGATGGATCCTTCTGACCTGCCCCTGAATTGAATAATCCTCTGTGTTGGTGCGTGTTGTTCCCTCGTGGCCAGGCATGTCCACACTCACAAGGTGCAGATGTTTTGGTAGATACTAGAGCAGTAGAAGGGACAAAGTACATCTTAAAACCATTCATTTGTTTGGAAGCCAAGAAAGGCTGTAATAATCTGAATCTCATCTTAATTGTGAAATTTAAACGTGCAATGAATAATTTTTTAGCCACTTGGGTCTGCACAACAAGTTGTGAACACAACAGTGACATATCATCACCTGTTAGGTTGGTATATCAAACCTATTAGCATACAGTTTCTTATTTACATATTCGGCAGATACAGAGAAACATTAGCATTCATTTGGAGCCACGTTTGTGGCCACCTGGTGAATGTTAAGTAATCAGTCTTTTTAGCTCTTTTTTTAGTCTCACCCAACTCCTTTAGGAAATATCTGACTCTGTAGCTGCAAAATGCTCCACTATGTTCACCAGCTACAATCTAACTGTGTCTGTCTGGTATTTGGTGCTGAGCAGGTAGTGTACAGTGACTTCTTAGAGATTTTTCTCTGATACAGCTGTCTGCTGCGGCCGAAAAAACAACACCTTGAGACCAGTGAGAGTGAACCAAAATATTAAAGTTGCTGGCCGGACAGCTAAACAATGAGTTGAAACTAACTTTTGAAGCTCTATAAAGCTGAGGGGAGTTGCAGCTTTCAGTGATAATTCCAGGTTTCCAGTCGATCAAGTGAGCTTGTTTTTCTTGAATTGTGACTGAAAGTGCAACCTGATTAACCTGATTGTAAGGAGGTCTGACTGCTCATACTTAGCAGTCTGAATTTTTTAATCTGAAAATGACCATTTTGAGCAACATGAATACAGATCCATTTAATATGGGACACTTCTATCTCAATAAATAAATAAATAAAGGACATCCGAGTAAAATATTTCAGAGTAAAATATTTCAGTGCTAGATATTCAGTGGTGTTTACATTTCAACACAAAGTATTCATTGGTGACTACATTTCAGTACTAGGTGTTACAGTTGCTTACAAAAGTCAAATTCCAATGACCTTTCTGTGAATCCTTATGCATGTCCTCAAAATGATTGACCTAAAACTATTTATGCACAGGGTAAATTTGCTTTACATTATTATAAAGATTTAACATGCTGTGATTGTGTGCACCACCACTGTTCTTTTTTTTATTAGTTTGAAGTTTAAAACAAACATCTCTATTCAGGGGAAATCAGCTGAGTGGTTGTCCCTCGAGTTCAAAGCAACATCCTGTAATGTTCAGTGTTATCCTGACCTTGACAACAGTGAGCCATGTGTCTTTGTGAGTAGAGAAGCCATGCAGCATTAAAATGGAAGGTCTCATCCCAGGCTTTCCTCTGTATGAGTAACAGAAGCGATAACCACCACAGTCTGCGTAGCGTACCTGCAGGCCCAGCGTCCTCCTCCAGTACCTGTCGAGGAGCAGGGATATCTGAGCTGACAATCAGGACATGACTTCACTGGAATTTACATTTGGGCACAGTGATAATGGGCTTGGATGCAAATTTTTATGATGTCTTGCCAACATTGACTTTTTTTAGAGGACTGCTGAGACACATTGAGTTCCATGTTGAGGCAAAGGTATGATTTTGGGCTCTATATAATAAAACCGACATGACATGAAATGTAGTTTCTTACACCATATGCTCATAAAGGTCACATTAACATTTTTAAAGGGCAGGCTCACATTTTTTCAAGTCAGTCTTAATACAACATTCACGTGTCTATATGTACATTCAAAGGGTTATTTGTCACTGTAATTGTGGCCAAATAGATCCCTACACAGAGACTAAAGCAATTTTAGTGTAAGTGATGGGGGACAAAATCCACACTCTTTAACCAAGTGTTAATTATTGTAACCATGATGACAAAGGTCACCCTAACCCTTAACCTTGGGGAAGGAGTCATTTTAACCCAAACTACAATGTTTTCCTAACATTACAAAAGTACTTATTTTAACCCAATCCATGATCTTTCCCTAAACATCAATAAGATGTTTTTGTGCTTATAACCAAAACATGACCATAGTTCTATCACATCATAAAACTAATCAATTTTTCTAGAGCAATTTGTTGAACAGCTTTGAAAGGCTCTTACAAATTATTTTGTGGCATGTTGGATTTGAAAACATTACCAAAGTAAAAAGGACATATATTGTCATCTACTTTTGACCACTTGTTCTGGAAAAGCACATATCTTAAAATCCACATATCTGTATTTCAAAATACAAATGACATTTAGTCTGGCGGAAGCATATTTTGCAATCAGTCCTAGGTAATTCATTTCAAAACATTTATAGGAGAATTATCATTTATTGCCCTTCTCTGGCACTCTGGTGGGAATCACATCAAGTATTAAAAGTATAAATGGAGGACAGGACATCACAATTATCTACCTTACCAGTAATAAACTTTAATGAGAGCTGAGGGCCAGAGAAGGAAGGAGGCAACAAAGGCCAGAATGGGAATAGCCAGTGTTCCCCCAGCAATGATAAACAGGTTCACCACGTCTAGATCAGCTGCCATGGCTGCCTCGCCTAAAATAATACAAAAAACACACACATTACAAACATGCAGTATTATCAAGATAACATGTTGGGGGAGTGGCAAAGTCAGCGTTCAACATCATTACAATGTTTTGTTGAGAAATAAAATAACTTAGAGCATATAGAAAAACAGATCACAAATTCTGTCTTTATCAATGTGCATGTAAAGTGTATTAAGTCATGTTGCAAACAATAATAATATGATGTGACTTGTGCACAGCTGAAGTAATGACATCGTGTTTGTTTTATCCCATGACACATTTTCAAAAATGTTAAAACTTACTTATCAAATGATTTTTGTCCTTGTTGTTTATCCCGTCACAGCCGAACACATGTGACCGCTGGTTCAACTGTGATTCTGTTGATTAGTTTTGCTGCATGCAGACACTTTAGTTTACATGCAGGTATCGCTCATGTGTGGAAAGTATGAATAGCTGACTTATCTCTCTGAAATTTGACATAAAAAAACAGTCCCTGTGAAGTGCAGCTAGTCCCGACAGATTATGTTTGCTCTGGATAAACCCATTGATTATTACTCATCACTGGGTAAAACCGGGCCACTACAGTATCCGGTCAATCTTTTAAAGTGAACGTACAAACCAGACTTTGCTTCCCAGTCCAGGCAGTATGCAGTCAAAACTCTCAGCAATAACCTTTACACAGCAGTTGATAGCAGATCTTTTTGTATAACATTATTGTAAATTGGACTAAACACCATTATCAGCCTGAGTCAGTAAAGTGAACACAGTAAGGAATTTTACTGATGCGTGTTATTGCATGTTTTCTGTCCAAGTTACAGCCTCATATGTTTAATGGATCATGAAAGGAAATGGAAGAAAATCAGACTACAGATGTAAAATTCATTTACCTTTTCATGAGCATAACTTCATAGCTAGTCAAGATTAAAATACCAGATACATTATGTCTGTAATGTGCACCAATCACACAATACATTTTATTGGTTGAGCAGACAATTAATAAAGCAACTATTTAGATAACTGAGTAATCATTTAAGTCTTTTTTCAAACACGAATGCCAAACATTTTATTGTTCCAGGTTCTCAAATGTGACAATTTACTGTTTTGCTTTGGTCTTACTTTTGCTGTAAAATGAAATTTTTTGGAGTTGTGCTTTCGTTGTTGTGACCTTGAGCTCTATCAGGCATTTTCACTGTTATCTGATGTTTTACAGACCAAATGATTAAACAACCAATTCAGAAAATAAATATCAGATTAGTTGATGATGACAATTAGTTGCAGCCATAGTCTGTACCAATATTCCCTGCAGCACAATCTCACAAGTTTTATTTCAGTTCATCTTGATAAATTTGGTTTTCCGGTCATGGGCCACTACAGTGTTAGTATCAGTTTTTACTTGTCAGCATCAAGCATAAATGACAGAGTGTGGTGTGAGTGTTCGATGTCGGATAGCAAACAGAAAAAAGGTGGTAAATCATGGTTTTGACTTCCTATCACTAAAGACTTCTGGATTCTGGATAATCCTGTAAATGTCTGATGTCTAAAGAATAACTTTAAAATTGGGAGAAAATGTATTATTGGCTATATTATCGTTGATAGTGAGTATAATATAATAATATAAAGTATATATATAATAGTCCCCACTCTGGGTTCTTGAACAGAGAGAGAATAAACACAGGTCATGCTCTAGAAACATTCTATAAAATTAAAATTAAAATGTAATTTTTTCATTTTCATTCTCATTTGCTTTGGGCAAAAGCAAATGAATAAATGACTATATGCAGTTCCAAATTAAAGAGCAGTGTTTCACAGTGCCTTTGAGTCACACTTGATGAACTTTGTCTCACCACCATGTTTGACAACCTGACTTGGAGAACCCTCCATCAAAGTCACTGTTGTGTTTTCTGTCTCCACTGTTAGTTTAAAAAATACCCAGACTGAAACAGACTGAGGTGAGCCAAATCAGATACCTCTCACATCCGGTTTCAAGTTAAAGCTTCAGGTCCAAAACTTACCACTGGGTGTCATGATTGAGTGTCCCCCGCTTCCTGCAGTCAGTAGTGAAGATCTGAGGGCTTTTTTTGCACAGACCACTGGGTGTCATGACATCCGCTGACTGTGAGACGTCATCACGTCTGCTTCAGGGCTGCACAGGGCCGCTACAGTGGTCATGCTGCAGACAGCCCCTTCGGAGGAGGCTGACCACCAGGTCACAAGACCCTGTCTCCCAACATGAACTGCTCCCAAACACTCAAGGGAGGAAGTTTTTTCTGGGGTCTTCTTGTACCTTTTTTTTCCCCTTTTTGTCCCTTTCAGTCATTTCTTCTCCATCCCCAGTAGGCGCGCACTCCCGACCTGTAATGGGCACTCTGGCCACTCCCAAAAAGAAAAACAGAATAATAAATAAATGAGAATAAATACATATGAACTATACAAATCAGTTGGAATATATATGTCTTTGTTTTTTCTCTTCTCTTTTTCTCTTCTTAATACATACTGTAGCTAGATTAACATTTGACCAACCTATTTCAATTTCATATCACAGATCAAAGCTCTTCACTGTGTCGTGATTTGGAAAAATTGGCTTATTACTGTAGGTAGTCAGGACTTGAGCATTAATCAGAATGTAAATTAGATCTATATGAAGCCCAACATTCTGCAAATACCATGTAAAAGAGTGTGCGGCTGCCATTCTGCTGCATCTCTGGGCTACTACCGATGACCTACATACAAACTAGAGCAGAACAAATGGACATGACAACTCTGCAGAGAGGCTCGCCTTGCATGGGAATGATTCTCAGTTTTGGGTTTATACAGGGGCTGTCCTCAATCTGCTCACATGTCAAATGCACAGTGTATTCCCCAGGTTGTCTGAGAGAGAACCTCACGTCACATTAGCCACATCATCCTGGTATGTACCCTGAGAGGGATCCTTGACACAGCTAAACCTGCAGAGCAGAAATGTTAGGGCCAATGTGGCAACACCAAAATGTGGATCAGGTGTGGACTACTCATCCACACAGCAGCAATGGTTTCCTATGGAGCTATGACTTGAAAGGGTGTAACTGCACTGACTGCTTAACCTTGTAATCTTCCAGGAGAGGTAACAGCCACTCACATTAAGTCCGTGGATCAAGTTGTGCTTGTTTGATATTACATCACACCTCCACCCACTTACAGAGGTACTCCAGTGATTTAGTGCTGCACTTCCACATAGTTGGGTTCTAATAAGAGATACATTTAAAAATGGACTGTCAAAATTGAGGCAGCAGAGGCTGAGATATCCTCACTTTTACTCCCTAGGATCCTACAATTCCCATCATGCCAGTCAACTTAAGAAACCTCCCCTAGAGCCAGAGAAGAAGTAAGGGTTGGGTTATGCTCAAACAGTTCTAGATCATAAGATGTGCCGTTCAATCACATCGAAATTCAAGTGTTTACATTTGTTCCAAACTTGAAGATGGATTGAAAAGCCAGCTGCCACAGGGAAGGAGAATATGCAATATTGTTTAAATAAGTAAGGGGATAACAGTGCACATTTTCTCCTGGAAGGCAGTCATGGTGTTTCAGTCAGGGACAGGAATAGATGAGTGAAGAATGAAAAACAGAGTACCAACCCTGCCTCCTTTCACACCTCTGCACAGCCGACCAATCACTGCGTGAGATGGGTGTGAATGTCAAATCATTGATTTTGGAAAGTTACTGAATTGATGAGACAACGCCTGCTGAATTCTGATGTCACAAAAGTGTGGAGGGAGGGGGCTCTGAACAAACATACTAGCCATGCAGTAAAGACTGGCATGCCCCTTTAACATTTTAAAAGAGGCAATGATGACGTAAACTCTCTCTCATTTTGTCAAACTGCGGGATGCTAGTAAGTCTGGCCACATAGTGCATGTGATCACTGTACCACCGTGTATACTGTGGATTTGCTCTGTCCACCTCCATGGTCCACTGTTTGCCAGCTGATGTACACACTGTGTTCACTTGAGAAAATCTGTCTTTGAGGAAAACACTGTGCTCCCTGCTGTCGGCATCAAAAGGTTCTTTCAATATCATCTGCAAAACAGGGGACAAGAGATGGGAGAACTAACATAACAAATCATTTTGTCTGGAGGGTAGAAGCAAAAATATTTATCAAAATACATTTCCTGTCCCTTAATATACTAACAAAAGTCATAATGTGGGTGGACGATACCCACAACTTACCTTAGATTTACTGTAGCTATGCTGCGAGTGTTGCTCTATACAAGGTCACAATGTGCTCAATATGATGATTCAGAGGCAAAACCTACAGTAACAGGAGGTCTAACCTCATCTAAACATAGCTTGGTGGCTTCAGTGACTTTGTGCTTATGCAATGACTATAACATGCAATTATGAGCTTAAGATCTTTAATTGACGTCACTCTTACATTTTAGAGCAATTATTCATAAACTTTAAATCCAAGAAACTATACCTTTCCATCTCTTTACAAAATACATAGATTTTGTACTTATTTACAGGGAATCAAACAAAGTCAAAATTACCATAAACACAGCAACTTAGTAGATATATTCAATGATAACATTTGAGATTTTTCACAAACTCATAATGCATGCAAACATTTAACCAACAGAAAACTGAATGAATACCAAATCAATGTTTGGGCTTGTTTACAAGTTCAGATGAGTGTAATATCAGTTTCAAAAACCATGACATTTAAAGTATCACACCAGTTTCCTGTGGTCACTACTGGTAAGATGTGACACAATATCACAGAATACCATGCATTTAAATAATGTAGTGTTGTGTTATATTGCAGTCTATGTTTGATTGCCATGTTCAATAATTTGTCTGTGGCACCTAACTTAACCTTGTCCATGTTTTCAGTATTGGGTAATAAGTTAGGTTGGGTAATAAATTCTTCGTTTTATCCTCCTCTGTTGAGAAATAGTAGGCAATGCTGAGATGTCAACTGAATTTGAGAGGCTGGCAACTGGTGCAGAGACAAAAAAGTGTCCTAAATAAATTCAATATTTTATCATCATGCATATTCAATGAAAAGCAGAAGGCCGAAGGAAAGTAGAAGACAAACACACAAGAGATGGATAGTGCAGTTCTGAACAAGATCCTGTCAGTGATGGAAATGGCTCTCAGGGCGAGTTGCTGTGATTCTGTTAATGACGCTCTGTTGAGAAACTACAATGTAAATTCCTACTTAGCAGTGCCCACCACAACCATCCACTGATGTATTGTTATATATCTAGGGCATTCAACTTGCACTCGATTAGGGGCTGCATTATTGTGATAATATTTATTATTCTGACAATTACAGAGATGTGTTACATTTGGGGAGGTTCAAACCCCCAAAATATCCTCATATATATTTAGAATTAATTAAGTGTGAAGAGTATCTTTACATTCATTAATGGACAATAAGTCAAAATAGCAACCGAAAAGAAATGACCCACATGACATGACCCCTGCTTCACAGAACAGACATACAAACAAACATATTCATTTGCACACAGAACTGACATTCTTTTATTAACGTCTCTGCCATCTAAAATAGAGCATCTTTAAAACTAAACAGTGTTAAGTATGAGCCCTCCTAATTAATAGTGCAGATATGATAAGGGGGCAAGTTTTTCAGTTTCAGTGCGGACAAATCTGATGACAAATACGGATTTATTTGTGTTTGTTTGAATGAGTTGCCCTCAGGTCCTGAAGAGCACAGCAGCAGTCACAGCTGTTAGAGCCACAGCAACCACAGGTCCCCAGATCATCCACGGTTTCTGAAACAAGTGGTGACACAGAAATGGAAACATGAGCATCACCACATGAAACTGCCCATCCAAGGATTGCCAAAGCTTTGACAGGGGGGAGTTTGCCATTGAGACCAATGCAGTACACAGAGAACACAAGTTAAAAACAGCTCTTTCAAGATAGAGATAAGCCCATCCAGGCCAACTGAGAGAAACAGTTGTTAAGCATTAGCCATCCAGACAAGACAAACAGATGTCAGATGTTGGAACTGTATGATTAGAGAGGTTAGATTTCTGAGACGTTAATTTTTGAAGTTTCCCCAGAGGAAGGCATTCTGGGAAATGAGGAAAACCTGATTAGGTCATGCAATGATCTAAAAGACACTGATGAGAATGAAAGATGTAGGCCGACTTGACAGGAGTAATGTGTACCTTACTACCACAATGCGCCGAAGCACCAATACAGCAAAGCCAGGATAAGGCCGATGACTATGGCTTGAACAGGCAGCAATAGGGATGTCTACAGAAGGGAAGGGATATTATAGTAATCAACTGCAATGGGACATACTTTAGTTGGGCGTAGCTTTATTAATAAACTCCTCAGTCAGTAGTCTGTGTCTATAATTGATGCGTATACAAATCTCAATGTCACACATGTCAATGTCTAAAAGCAACAGTAAAAGACAGTGGATGAGTAGAAGGGAGCAGGTGTGCTGAGGTTAAAAAAATATTGTGAATCTCAATAAAGATTCACCTTTTACGCCCTAAGACATTTCACAGAATCAAAACACGTTTAGAACAATGATGCTAAATTTGAAGCAAGCAATGTCAAGCTCCCAAAACCAATACAACTGCAGATGTTTGCTTCCTATGAAAACAAAAGCTATGGTGCCGTTATTATTTCTACACTTTATGCTACTCTGCATATATCATCTGTCAAACAATGATGTTTTTTTTGTTTGTGTTGAGTGTTAGATAATCACTCACCTTTGTTCCTTTCTCCTGTAATTCCTTCATGTTAGCTTTGCATCCCTCAAGTTCATCTGTGAGCAACTGTTTCTCCTGCTCAGTCTTCTCATATTTTTCCTTTAGGTCTGACAACTCTGTCTTAGCCTCCTCATACTGCAAAGCAAATCATCATTGTTACTATTATTATAAAAAAATCAATTTAAACTAAACACATAGATTCATCAGTTACTTCATTGTAATGTATTGTTAATCTGGATACTGCTGAACGTCCTGCACAGCAGCACACCGCTGAATTTTGTATACATTTAGCTAATCAGGGTGAGCGTAGTGTACCCTTTATAAAGACAACTGTAAGACCTCTCAGTTTCCACTTTCATTCAATGACTAAAGTGCAACACTACTTTGGGATGAATGACTTGTGGTCAAAAATGACTTCATCTCTGCTTTCTTCTATATATCACTGCCCATCTTGTCACAGTGTCAGAGCAGCGAGTGATCCCCATCCAGTCAGCAGGATGCTTTGAATTCATTTCATAGTCATGTAAATGGTGCAGCAGATTTGTTTAGAATCACTATCTCACTAGCTAAGGGGGCCGTTCGAGAGCGGGTGGTTGAAAATTTTTTCAAACTGAAGTTGCTGCCCTTTCCGCTTAATAATCCAAATCTTATAGTATCACTTTATTTTATAAGGGCCTTATTCCAGCAAATTAACCAGTGCTTGAACCGGTGGTCAGTATTGTCAATGCTATGTCGACTTCAACATTCAGCTGTGGTGGCTGCCTCTTTCTCCTGGGCTGGGTGACACCATCAGTGAAAATTACAGAGGGCGACTGGTTCAGGGTCTGTCTTTATCAGTTGTCTCAAAATAGAAAATCAGTCCTAACTGGCTCAAAATACCCAGTGACGCATACTTAGCCCACTTTTATATGAGAGGCTTATGAGAGAAAGCTGTTGTCTAACTTAGTCTCCAGGTGTTGAAAACAGCAAAAGAAAACTGGAGTAGATGACCACAGAGATCTGCTGTCCATCTGTTAGTCATCTAAATGTTTGGCAACATAGCCTCAAGTCCTAAATGGCCACCATTTGTAAATTAAACTTCATTCTTATGACACTGGAACTGATTTTAAGCTCGGCTACAATATCAAATCATGTATACAGGCAAATAAATTACAAAAACAACATAAGACTCTACATACCAGTGAAACAGCAGCCAGGGGCCAAATGGACAGATAAAGGATCAGGGCGTTTACTTATTGTTTTTGAGGAGAAAGACAGTCCTAATTCAGCCAAAATGCTTTGAGTTTCACCTAGGCCTGCTTGGTACTGTTTTACGCATTGGAGTAACAGCATTTTATCAGCTTTCTTAGAAAAATTTGTAATTTCCTCTTGTCCTCAACTACCATGCACATTAAGCAATTTTACCACCAATAGCAATGGTAAGAAAAATTAAGAAAAAACTTGAAAACTATTTGGTGATTTCTTAGAATGCCTTACTGTCAGGCAATAATGAATAATACAAGCACAAAAAAGAATAAACCCTAAATGGAGCGATACCATTGTATCAACAAAAAAAATATAGGTTATTCATACTTGATCACTTATGTTGTGGCTAAATAGTCTGTGTGTACAGTACACATGTACAGTAAAATCTGCAATCTGTTTTACTGTACACTAAATACATTTTCTAAATGTATTTTTGACCTTTAATCTTGGGGGAGTAGTCATACAAGTGTTGCTGTTTTCTGTATTTAATTTTGTTTTTCTTGCATCAAATTACTGTATCCATCTGTATTTTGGTAAATCCATACTGCAACAAAACAAAACAAAAAAGTTCATTTCATTTGATGGTTCTGTATGTTGCTCTCAAAGGAAAACCTCTACCCTTCACTGAGAGTGCATGTAGGAAGTTTCATAAATACTGTAACACCTTGTCAACATTGGCTGTGTAAAGCAGTATGGTCAGCAGCAAACCAGCAGCAGCTGCAGTCCTCTGGCAGTGTTTACACTGGATCCATTCAGTCGCTGTGCACTCAGGATTGTTTTGACCCAACTCACAGATCAATACACAATCATGTACTTGCGTGCGGACATAGAATAAAATAGATTTCAAGCCTAACACATCACTTCGGGCTTCATTTATGTGTGAAAGCACAAGTAAAATGCAAGCCATAATGTCGCCAGTAGGTAACAGGATTGAACAATGTGAGTGAAAAGCATCCATGATATACCGGGTCTTCAGTAACTGTCAGGTCTAAGATTGATGATATTAGATGTAATTCTTAGAAGTGATTGTGAGAGGCTTGTCAAATAAGGGCGTAGCTCACTCAGGATAATATCCTTTTATTTTGAGAGCATACCTCTCTCTGCAGAGCCTTGCTGCGACTGTCTGCCTCATCCAGTTGGGTTTGCAACTTGGTGCTATCCTGCTGGTGCTGGAGCTGCAGGGATGCGAGCCTCTTCTCCAGCTCCTGCTGGGATCTCTCTAGGGCTTTGAGGCTGTTGCTCAGTTCAGCATTCTGGGCACGTGAACTATTAGTAACAAAACAACACTGAGTTCAATAGGTGGAGGATCACAAACATAGGAGTATGTATATATGCACTGTAGAGCAAAAGATGTTGGAGCAGAGTCAAGCAAACCAGACAGACGGAGCACAAAGGTGGGGGTGAAGCTGAATTTGTGGTAATATTGCTCACTGACCTGGAAAGGTCCTTCTCCAGCTGCTGCTGCTTCTGCAGCACTGCCTCTTTCTCAGAGCGCAGTGCTGCACATTCACTCTGCAGGTTGCCCTTGTCTTTCTGGTAAGTCTTGAGGAGTTCCTCCTTCTCAGCCCTGAGGGAAGCACATTCACTTTGCAGACTGCCCCTTTCCTTCTGGTGCTTATTCACAATGTCCTGTTTCTCAGATCGCAGGACAGAACATTCCTTCTGAAGGCCATTACACTCCACCTGCATGGACTGCAGCTCACTAGCTGTGAGGGAAAAAAAGCAGATGCTCTGTTCTTAATTAGCTTACAGATAAAGTGAAAATAACCACATTTATAATAATATCTTTCAACATTTTCTCTGAGCTTGAACAGGCTAGTGTACGTGAAGACATATTTCAAATCATGTGGCCATTAAACAATTTTCTTGAGTAGAGAACGCAGATACAAAGCTCTCTCATTCACAGTGGCAACCCCACAATCTAATCCTATTTAAGCAAATCGTATTTTATCGTTTTGTAATTTGTAAATATTAAGAAAAACTGAGAGAACTTCCTAGATAAGGAAAATACCTTTCACTTTATGACTAAATTAAATAACACTATGACCATAATTATTGTGCCAGTGATACAATCACTTTATTGTCCTCATAGTTGGTATAAATATGTGTACGTGCACCATGTAGTACCTTGTATCTCTGCAGTTTTTTGCCACTGCTTGCTCTGCTGCTGAAGGTCACGCTGTAGGTTGTCAATCTCATGCTCGTATTTGTTGGCAGTCTGACGCCACTTGTCCAGATCCGTCGAGACGGTTGCCAGGTTAGTCTGGATAGCAGAGACATCACGGTCCCGCTCAGCAGTGGCTGACTCCAGGGCACGTTTCAGTGACTTCACTTCATCACGTGCACTTTGTAGCTCGTCGCGTGAACTGGAGGAAACGTCTATCTGCTCTCTGAGAATGCCCATTTCATCTTGGAGCTGCCGCAGCTGGCCTGTCCGAACCAGGGTCAGTATTTTAATTATTTGTGTTGACATGTTTACTTAGACAAGATAGCAGTACAATTCAGCCAGTTTACTCTCCAATCCATCAGTTGTAAGCAAGAGCAGGTGGCTTCATACAACACAGAAATATACCTTGAAGAAGCTTTATCTGTTTTGCAGATTCATCAGCTTGTTGTTTATTTTCCTTTCTCTCTTCCTCCAGGATACCTGCAAAATATAATCGCATTTATTCATTATTTTATTTATTAATTTATCTCATGTATTTGTGGGTAAAGTGGAGAGAATAGAATGTTACCTTGTAGCTCCATGCATTTGTGTTTCTCAGTATTAGCTACGTCCTGGGCTTCTCGAAGTTCATCATTCAAACGCTGGATAATTTTTTCTGAGTCACCAGAGGACCCCATGTTTGACCTTGTCAGATCATCTGAGAATGAAATACAGAACAAAAATGATTACCCAAGCTAGAAGATCCATTCTCCTAACATGAGAGTATCTAGCTGAAAGAGCAGAGATTAACTTCCTACAAAATCACTGGAGTGCATACAGAAACATTAGAAAGTAAAGTCTAAACCATGATACATCAGGCAATAATGATGGCAATTCAATACTATAAAAATAGAAGGATAACTCAGAGTTCCACTATATTAATTTTGCTTCAGTCCCAAATATTTAACCAGGGCTGGCATGTTAGATGATTTCCCAAGATATTAAAATAGGCCTATTACATAAACTAATTGCCAACCCAGAAATAGACACAACTGCATTATCTGCATTTTTTATCCACGCTTTCCTTCCAAATTGTCCATTACCCCAGTGACATGAGAGTCTCTGGCATGTCTGCATTGCTTGTTAACAGCAAGTTACTGTAAACAATACACAAAGGGAATGGACTTGCCAGGGTTGCCAGGGGTCTGTTGTGTTTCCTAGAAGAGGAAACAAGCTCCACAAATACTTGGTCTTTGCAAAAGCCCAGTGAATATCTTGATCCCCTAATCTACCATGGCTAGGAAAAGAGATGACCTCATCTCAGACTGAGCATTTGGCAGAGGCAGAAAAAACAAAACAAAAAAAAAAAAAAAAAAAAAAAACAGTTGAGACAGGTCACGCATGTGCACCATAAATGGACACATTAGAGGAGTGAGGCTGCCATGAAATGTTGCATTTGTTTTGCAAACTGTGATTTCACTGCGTCTAGCACACTTGGCTGAATAAAGACACTGTACAAACACACACACTCACATACTGTTTATAACTTCTGTTGTGATCTGGCACTATACAACTAAAATAAATTGAATTGTTTAATAGTGCCACCAGATGGCATTGATAAATGCCACTAAAATTAACGGGTATGAAGCGACTGCTGGAGGCTGGTGGCACCCTCTGACTCAAACACATGACCACCCAGCTGTGTGCCAGACAAAGGATGGGCGGGCAGTGCTATGTCCTGTATGTGTGTATGAGGTTGTGTGTTCCTTCATGCATGCATATGCATGAGTGAGAGTCAGAATGTGAGTGGGCTCCCTGTAAGTAGAACCATCTCAGTCCAGTTTGTGTGAAAGAAGAATGTCCTCTGAAAAGAGCACCTCAGATGAGGGCATCCAATGTGTTATCTTTAGTAACATAAGTTATTAGAGCCATCATGCCTTAGTGTCACAGAATGACACCTGACAAAGTGATAATGCGATTAGTCTTTGGGTAAAAATACCTCTCTGACTAGTTGGGGATATTGAGCATCACACTGCCTCAAGTGACGACAGAAAAAATTGTAGGAGAATGTCTTTTTTTAGCTCAAGTGCTGAAGGCTAGAGCCATCATGGTCCATCTTTCCTGCTGTCGGTTTCCTTCCCAATGAATGTGACAGCATTCCGAGGGTTAGCGCTGCTCGCACTGAAGGTCTCCAGTATTCAATGAGTCTCTATAAAACTGCTAATCAAATGGCTGGGAGGTGATATTGAGTCTCAGTCACAAACACCTCCAAAATGTGCTGTATGTGACAGAAACTGAGAGATACCCTCATCAAATGACTGAGCTACTGTTGTCGTGAGGACACTGTTTGCTTTGTGCTCCCTATGTACTGTGCAGCGTAGCATTACAAATTCATTCATCATGCAAAATTGATTCATTCACACACATGCTTGCAGATACCGTCTGAGTCATATACAGTTGATTTTTATGTTCTCTGTATTGCACTCACTTCATTATCCCCTGGATTTTATTTTGATCAGTCTCCCTAAATGTCACAGCTAACACACATTAGTCAGCTGATGTGCCCTCTGTGTAAAGAGATTCCATCTTCTAATAAGCTGTTGACACTAGAGAAATCACCGTCTAAAACAAGGCCATCTATAGCACTGTAAGCTCCAAAGCCAAACTGTCTTCACAGGTCCAGACACTCATTTCAACTGTGACTCATGCTTTTTTCTCTCCTCACACTGTCAGTTAGTAAGATATGCTGTGTCAGGTAAGAGCCATTTCAAGAGCAAAACAATGTCAAGTCATTCACTTCAATTCTGTCTGTCCATTTAAAAAAAAGAATAATAACAGTTTGTTTACCTTTAATCAGTGATACATTATTCAGGGGATCACTCAACTCTTTCTCATCCATTTGCTTAACTGTGAAAAAAAAAAAAAAAAAAAAATGTATAACTACATTTCATGTGAATAGACAACACATACATAATAACAAATCAAGAGCTAATGTTGCCAAATAAAATATATTTTGGATATATACCTTAACTAAAATGATTATGACTATTACTGTCGTTATTTGTTAAGAATCCGAGTCATTTTTGAAAGGTAAACACAAAAATGCATGCTCATCTGAGAAAACAAAACAAGTACTTCTGGAAGAGGCATCTGCATAGCTGCTGAAAATTTTCCTTTGAGAACTAGGTCACAGAAAATGTGCTAATAAAGGTTAAAAATAAAACTTAGCAGGAAATATTACCTTATGTGATCCAGGAGCTACAGTACTCTTTGTGCTGAGGCTACAGCAGTCCCTGACATGAAGAACTCTTCTCCAACTATCAGATATTTTCAGATGCGAAATGGAGCAGTCCAAGCAGTGAAAGGGGAGGGGGGCACCGAGGGGATGACAAACACTGTGTACAAGACCTGCCTGCTATATCGTTGGACTGAAGCCAGTAAAGACAAACAACTTCTTGAATTAAATGCACAAATACTTGGAGTGTGGTTAAAATGCTACACTAAAGGTAACTCAGATCAATGTCTTAAAAAACTTGACCCCCCTATTTTGAGGCTGAAGTCCACAGCCCCTCAACACTAGGTCATGTATCCGAGTAGGGCATCTCGGAAGCTGCAGCTGCATACTGACACAGAGAGGTTTTGTTCAGGGATCTGAGCTGCTCTCTGGCCAGTTGGTACTGATGTAAAGATCTACAGGACGACATAGAAGAGGGACAGCTAGTGTGGGAATGTGTGTCATGTATATGCTGCATCCACCTCCTCCTTTGTTTTGCCCTCTAGTCTAGGCCACTCTTTTCTCTTTTTAAATTGACGATTTACTGGCCGTCAAGGTTAGATCTACATGTCATCCTGAAGTTGTGGAACTAATACAGGGACAAACTGTATATTGTTTAACTTCTTTATATTGCACTATAAAATACCACAGTTAGCCTAGATAATGAAAGAAAACAGTGGCCTATATTGAAAAATATGTAGGGTTGCAACTAAGGATTGATTTCATTATTGATTAATCTATTGATTATTTTCTTGATTGGGCTATAAAATGTCAGAGGATAGTGGAAAAATGGTTAGCACAAAGAGATGTTTTCTGTATTCAACAAACAGTCCAAAACCGACAGATATAACAAAGCAAAGCTTTAAATCCTTACATTTAAGAGGCCAGAACCAGCAATTTACCTTTTTTTGCTTGAAAAATGACAAAAATAATTAATAAATTATGTAACTAACTGATGATTAATTTTCAAAGTGATATTTAAATATCCATTTCACAGACAGACTTGCAGGTGTGATGCAGGTTTAAAAAGGGTGAGGCATGTTTTAAAGGACACTCACCTTTAATTTAAGATTTTTCAACTTAATTTCATCATACACTGTGAGCTACAAAAGCTGATGTAGCCTGACTGATTTTTTTGACACCAGCTCACCTTCTTATCTAATGCTGTGCAGTCCCATATCAGTCCCAATGATATGTGTTATAATCAAAATACTAATGCTACAGGTTCAATGGTACGAGGTATGAACAGCTCTCAAGTGAACTGTTTTTCCAGATCAGTGCATACTTAATATACATAGAGTAATTGAAAAAATGCCATACCATACTCAAAAAGTGCAAATCAGTCAGTGTCAAGAGGAGACCTATCTTAATGACTTTGCATTTTGCTGTGTGGCCAGATTCTAGCCTGAGACATTAACTTTGGTTGAGCAAGTTGATAATGAGGTAAAGGATTAAGATATCAAGTTGCAAATCATTGACATTTATTGAGTCAATAATCAACCATTCTAACCCTCTACTCAGCCTGAACAGCCTATCATCAGTTAAGGTGATTAAGATTCTTAACAAACTCACAATAAATGTTCACAAGACAGACAAGTGAAGGGTAAACCCACATAAACCGATTTTAAAGACACTTTATAGGTGGAAGATTCACTGACCTCTCTAACATAAAGCTCTGCAACAGAAATTATAACTAAATTAAATAAAATTATATATTAAAATGATTATATGCTTTCACTACATGTTATGGTACCATGAAAGCCCAAAGAAAATTTACTTAGGCAGACGTCAGTGGCATTGTCATATATAGTATTTAGAATTTATCTCAACTAGTGTTATCTATCAACTTAAGTTATCTAGATCTTCATCACAGTGGCACTCTTTATTTATTTGTTATATTATTTGTTAAAGAAGCAAGCTGATTCTCACCACTCAACAACTCTGAAGTACGGTTATATTAGTGTTAATTGGCTGTAATGGCTAACTAGCATTGGCTAATTGTAAACTGGAGGTGTTATCAGTTGACGTTAGCTAACGTTAACGGTCGTTACTGAATATTACTCTAAAAAGGTATTTAATAGTGAGTTACAGAGTAACATGTATCTAAACATTTAGAAAAGGTGTTTCAGCTGCCGTAACTTACCAACAAACAACTCCCGAATATGATTATGTTTTTGTTAATTGGCCGTAATGGCTAACTCGCCTTGGCTAATTAGAAATTGGAGGTGTGTAGTTGTCAGTTAACATTAGCTAAAGTTAACTGCCTTTGACTTAGCTGTACTTTGAGGACGCCATGTGAAGCTGCAGACGCAGACCCACACACTACACTCAAGGAAGCAGTAGTGTGTTGCTCCTTCCAGTGGAAAACTTCTCTGAAAGTTGCCTAATCAGTGTGGTGGGTGTGCCTTTCAGTCCTTACGTGTCATGCTAGCGGTTCGTGTAGTTACTCACAGGAGTCAACCAGAAGTGATGCTTAGATCGTATATTGTTGTAGGGAGGAGGTGTGGACATCACTGCAAAGGTTTTCCTCTTCGTTAAACTAACACGCCAGATGTCCGACAACTAAACTTCCTCGGTTTGGATTTGACTGTTTCTTTTCCTGCTTCTGCTGATTTGGACTGTTTGCTGTTCCCCCGATGACTTCCTCTATTTCGGCCTGGATTTGGAGTGAGAGATTCTGGCTTCCCGAAAATGTCTCATGGGCGGACCTGGAGCATCCACCACCTGGAATGGAGTATCCCCGAATGGGACACATACTGTACGCCCTGCCGCTGGCTGTCGGTGTTTTTCTACTGAGGCTGCTTTTTGAAAGGTAAATTAGACTCCTGTTTGTTGTAAATGTTACCGTAGTCTCTCCTACATTTGTGTGCCTGCTCTGTGTGAGTGTACAGCTGAGAGATCTAGGCTCAGATTCATTTGTTGTTCATAAAGAAAACAACAACACTACAAAAAGAGTTAATGCTTGTAATCTTACTATATGGTAATTTAAATGTGCCCATGATCTTGGATACATGAATCAAACTTTAAACTATCTGGACACTAGAGAGAACAAGCAACAAAGATAGTTGCAATGAAATTAAGCAATTCCCTTTAAACAAACTCACTTTGATTCATAGATGGGACGGTTTTAGCTTTTGTCTCCTCATATGACACATAAATATGCTCTGTTTTGCTCTTTTTTTAGTAGAAAATTGTTCTTAGATCCTAAAACTGGAAGAATTCACTGTTGTTGCCTCAGCCTCTTATTTAACACTGTTGGCATTCCTTTGAGGTGATGACACATGAAACTGACTCCATTGGCTTGATGTTTACCTTGCTCAGCAATGATAGGTTCCCTAAGAATAGTTCAGAGGAGAAACAGAAGTGGCATAAAGTTATCGTACTGTGTAATTCCTTGTTGGCCTTTTACAACCAGTCTGTGCAGTCTTCCTAAGTCCTAAATTTAAAACTGCACAGAGTCATCTTTTTACAGCAAAGTTCAGCTACTTTCGAGGTTGTGTAAACGGGCCTAACTTTCTGAGGATAGCTTAGTATAGAGGAAAGTCACCAATGAAGGGGCAAGCCGAAGCCCAGTCTGTACTTCTATTCATTCAGTCTTTTTCCATGTTGGGGAAACTCTTCCAGATAAGTGGGGTGTTGTCAGATTGAGATGTAATAAATGGCTCAGAGTTTGAGCATGAACACTGGTCAACTTAACCAGATGATCTTGTGACACAAATCAGTATTTTGGTTAAAGGTCTCTGTCTCCCATACTCTCACATGACAGGTCATCATGCTCTGTTTATACTAGGTGCTACATTCCCCAGTCTCTGCTAAAGCTCTATTATGCTCTTGTTCCCTCCCTCTAAGATACACACACAAACACACACACAAACACACACACACACACACACACACACACACATGCATGTCAAATGTAACTCTGTGGGCCAACTGTGAAAGTTCGACAGTTCATGTCAGTTAAAGAATTCTTTGGCTTCTAGTCCATTTGTTTCTGTAACCTGTACAAAGTGTTTACCTTCTCTCTCTGACTCCCTCTGAATGTCTCTCTTAATACCCCACCATCTATGTGTCCCCTCCCTGCCCCCACCCTCTCTTTTTTTTCTTTTTTTTTGCCTCCGTCTGTGTGTATACAGGCTAGTGGCCAAGCCCTGTGCCCACATACTTCAGATTCAGGCGGGAGTGCCTCGGCGAGCTCAGCCCAATGCTGTCCTGGAGAAGCTGTATCAGTCCAAAGCGGTACATAAGGCCCATGTCTGTTCTGTAGTCCATTAAATGTTCTTCTACACACTGGTACACTGATGTTATTGCGCTGGAATACACCACCGCAGACATAATGATATGATCAGTAAATACCTCTTATAGTGTGACAGTCATACCTGATTGTAGAGGCTATGGAAAGCAAGTCATTTGTAATTTTCATGTGTTGTCCTTAGTGTCCAGACACGAGGCAACTGGAGGGACTGTCCAAGCAGCTGGACTGGGATGTACGGAAAATACAGAGATGGTTTCGCATCCGTCGCAACCAAGACAGGCCCAGTACGCAGAAAAAGTTCTGTGAGAGCATGTAGGTCCCTAGAAAAGGTTCCTACTAAACTGCTGTGCAGTGTGAATTTGTACTACAGCACATGTAAAAACAATTTAAGAAAAGTTAATATAACATGGCTTGACATGGCATGAAAATTCTACTCTTCTCTTTCATTCCAGGTGGCGATTTACATTTTACCTGGGGATTTTTATCTATGCCATTCGCCATTTGTGGGTGGTGAGTTTAAAATGGCACACTGTATGCGTTTGTACAAAATGCACTGACATGATACAGAGCTTTAGCGTTCACCTTGAAAAGTGAACATGTTTGTTAATCAAATCAGAGACAGGCTTAAAGGAGTGTCTTAAAACAAAAGCGAGGTGCCTATGTGTACACTGAAACAGGTTTTCTTTGGATGTAATCATTCCTCCTGTTGATACTAGCCATTAAAAGATGGCTTCCGAAACCATTCACAATAAGTGTGTTTCAGTCCATCTACATTTGTGCGCATTTTCACTTTGAGTATGGACTTTTGAAAAAAGTAAAAACATTGCATGAAAGTTTTTACACTTGCCTGAGGTGGATGTATTGATGAAAACAAAGAGCAATGGAAACAGACTTAGCAAATAAATCTTGGCATACATGAAGCGTGTGACTTGCTTGTCACTCTGGCTTCCACTGAAGAGAGGGAAAATAGCTGCAGATGAAAACATCAGATATGTGTGGAGGAATTAATTTAATGCCATATTTCCATCACATTTCCACGGATTTCCACCATTTGAGGTTTGACTGGCGCTCTATTAATTATTGTCATCATAACATTAAGCATTACTTCTGCAATGGGTTAATGGCACCCAACTGGAAAATCAGTACCATCAGCTGTTTATCTTGATGTGCGCAGCTTCTAATAGTAAATACAGGATGGAAAGTCAAGTAAATCTCTATTTGTATAGAGCCAAATCACGCTTTTCGTGTAGAGCTGGTCTGGACTGTACTCTTTATAATATTGATTACAAAGACCCATCTCACATTAGTTTGCATTTTCTTTTTTCTTTTTCTTTTTCTTTTTTTTTTTTCAGGTTAAAATTTGCACTACATTTGGATAGAGACATGACAAACAAGAGTTACACAAAGTTTAATTTTTTTTAGTAGGTAAAGAAGTTGCATGTCTCCCTGGACAGTGTTTTCCTTGGTGATCTTCATGGATCGTAAGGCAAAGAGAGAATATATCCACTTCATTTGTCCAACTCAGACTGCTGAATTTAAAAGAAGTGCTGAGCAGTGCATAAGTGCGGAGTAAAGTGCAAAATTTCAGAGCTAGTTAAAGGCTAAGGTGAAGAGACAAGTTTTTTTCTTTCTTTTAAAAGTACTCAGTGACCTGGCTTCTCTGATATTTATAGCTTTGGGCTGTGATTGACAAAGGCTGTATCCCCTGAAGTCTCTCAGTGAAGCCTTTTATTAGCTTCAGATAAACAGTGAAAAGGATTTTTACAACATTTTTACAAAAAAAACAAGGAAGGTGCATTTTGTTCCCTATCAATTACACTAGAAATGGATCCCCTAAAGTCCAGAATGAACAGAAGGAATTATTATATCAAGCAAAATCTGTTAACATGTTCATATTGTTATCTGATACAGACATGGAAAATCTGCAAACCTCTCCTTTAATCATATGCACATTTATCTGTTTTAATCAGTCACCTTGGATGTGGGACACCAGAAAATGTTGGGACAACTATCCTTTTCAGGTTTGTTTTTTTTATTTATTTTTTATTAACTGAACAATCCTATTCAACTGCCTATATAATTACGTTAATCAGGGTAGCACGGTAATGTGTGCAGGCCAGTATGGCTACATATTTGTTAAAGGTGTTTCTGTTTCACTCTCCCCCTGAAGCCTTTGAGCCCTGGCCAGTACAACCACTATGTAGCTGAGCTGGCTTTCTATTGGTCTCTGATGTTTTCCCAGTTCACAGACATTAAACGTAAGGTGAGTCAACATCAACTTAACTAACACTATTGTGCTGCCTCTCAATGGCAACACTGAATACGTAACGCCCTTGACAGAGCTGTTTTGCCAGTTTTTCCTATTCACCTTGTCTCATATCCATTTTTCTGAATGTCTTTGATGATGCATTTACAAGCCCAACTGTCAGACCACTTATTGTTACCAGCACTGATGAGTAACCGTGTGATTATGTGGTCTGGTGGAACAGGTTAGACAGTGAAATACTGCAGTGCCATTAATATATACAACACTCCTTGCATACAGCTTAACATCAGTCTATCATCCCAGTATTGACATAGTGTCTTTCAGTCGCTGCTTTCAGTCTAGATGAAAGTACAAAGACCAACAAGTGAGGATTATTATACAACTAGCGACTTCATCTCATTTACCTGCAGGAGATTTTATGAGTTTGTAAATTTCCAGTGGCTGAGTAAGTAGCATGTGCGTCATCTCTCTCTCTGTCATCTCTCTTCATTTCACCGATGACAGGATTTCATCATCATGCTTGTCCACCATCTGGCAACCATTATCCTCATCACATTCTCCTATGCCAACAACATGCTAAGAGCTGGCACTTTGACCATGTGTGTGCACGATGCATCCGACATCTTCCTCGAGGTAAAGAATTCAGTGATTACAATCTTTTTTTTTTTTAAGTCGTTCCAAGAAGCAAATTTGATGGGCTTTCTGGGTTTCACTCAGCAGTCACACATTGTTGCACAAAATGTAGGTAAACACAGCTGGGAACATGTGGAAATTATACTACTGTACTGTGAGCTACTTTTGCCACCAGTCTGACAAAAAAAACAAAAAAAACTATCTCCTACTGACATGAGAGTGATAAGATAACATTGAGATTTTGGTTTCATATTTTACCACTGTGAATCATTAATTTTTTATTTATTTCCCAAGGCAGCTAAACTCGCCAACTATGCCAAGTACCAGAGGCTATGTGATGGCCTGTTTGTGGTGTTCAGCATAAGCTTTTTCCTCACTCGACTTGTCATCTATCCTTTCTGGTGAGAGTAACAAGAGTTTTCTTTTACATATCAAATGACATACTTTTGTGAATATGTCACAAGTTTAACTATTTGAAGCCATTTTACACTGAAATAGATAACAAGTTAATAGTTAACCTGTTTCTGGACATCCAAAGGTTTTTGTTGTTCAATAATTTTGATTACAGTCATAATTGTGGTCTCCTTTGAAAGGTTACTCTTTAAATTTGACAGCATAAAAGGTAAAATGAGTGTAAGAGTAGGCTTGGGCTATAAAAAAAAAAATAAAAAAAATGTATATATTGCAGTTTTGCACAGTCAACCTTGCTGCTGAGTTCAACCCTCATTTCACTGCTTTACTTACTGTACATTGTACCTTTGCATGTGACAAATAAAACTGCTGTTTAATGGCAGCATCGATTATACCTAAAGCATACAATACAATAATATAATCATATATTATAGAAAAACCCCTAAAACTAAAATACAAAATTATATATGTGTATATATATATATATATTTACATTTACAAATCCAGTAACCTCTGTATGTGTGTATTTGTTGCAGGATTGTTAACAGTGTTCTGTTTGAGAGCTGGGAGATTGTTGGGCCGTACCAGGCCTGGTGGCTGTTCAATGGGTTGCTGCTGGTTCTGCAGACTCTTCACATCATCTGGTTCTACCTCATCACTCGTATTGCTATCAAAGCCATATTCAAGGGAAAGGTTAGTCTGGTACTCTTCTGTGTGTAGTACAATTTTTAGCCACAGCAGCTCCAGGGACCTTGGTCCATACTGAAATATCTCAACAACTATTAGACGGATTATCATGACATTTTGTACAAATCTGGTCCCCAGAGAATGAAACCTACTGACCTTGGCAATTTCCTCATTTTTTACCTTAGTGCCGGCATGAAGATGACATTTTGGGTTTTTAGTGAAATATTCCAACAACTATTGGTTGGATTCCAATGATTTGATACAGATATCCATGCTACTGCAGGGGGTGACTTTGGTGATCTCCAAAGTACTATCTGCAAATCAAAATTTTCACTGATCCATTAAATTATCACCACTTCTGCTTGATAAACTGTTTTGTGCAGAAATTCCTGGTTCCCATCGATGATCACCTGGCATTTCCTCCAAGGTTACCGGCAGGTCGACATATGTGGTTTTGAGTGAAATGTCTTGGATTGCAATTTAATTTAGTACAGATATTCATGTTCTGGACGAATTATAATAACTTTACTTTGTCCAATAGTAGTGCTAACACACTACACTAAGATGGTGACTGTGGTAAACATTATGGGCATCAGTATTTTCAATGTTAGCATGTTAGCACACTGATAGCCTCACAGAGCTGCTAGTGTGGCTGTAGACTTTTTTGTTTGAAATTTCCGCACAGTTCAAATAGTTTAACTGTCATGTGGATTAACTTTACAGGTGTCAAAAGACGACCGCAGTGACGTTGAGAGCAGCTCGGACGAAGAGATTTATTCCAGTTGCAGCAAAAATCCCAGTCAGACTCTAAAGACAAAGGACAGCAGTCACACTGGTAACTTCAACGGAGAAACTCATGACCACTGAGTACCAAGAAGAGGATACTGACTTCCAGTGTGGCCTTCATTCACCTCTTGCGTGCCTGTGAGATCCGCCTCGTCACTTGACCAAAAAGACATTTTTTTTTTTTTTCTGCTGAGTTGTTAAACGGAGAGAGGACTGGACACAGGGCAACTCCATGTGTGGAATACAGACTTAGAACTGTGTTTCTGTGGTGTCAGGTTTACACTGTGTGAGGTTTACGCCTGCCTTTTGCTTATAGAAGTAGACAGAGAAATGTGTGTGTGTGTGTGAGGGAATGGTGGGGTATTAAGAGAGACATTCAGAGGGAGTCAGAGAGAGAAGGTAAACACTTTGTACAGGTTACAGAAACAAATGGACTAGAAGCCAAAGAATTCTTTAACTGACATGAACTGTCGAACTTTCACAGTTGGCCCACAGAGTTACACTTGACGTGTGTGTGTGTGTGTGTGTGTGTGCGCGCGCGCGTGTGTGTGTGTGTTCTCAAAATTTGAAATTGCAGCAAGTGCGTAACAATGCATATTTGCACCGCTACTGTCAAACCCATTTTATACACAGAAATTTTATTTGTGAATTTGTTGATATATTTTACAGCTGTACAACAAATCACTGCATCTGCCTTAATTAATATACTGCTTACTCTCCTGTAAGCTTAGAAATGCCAAAGTCTTCTTAATAAAAATTTATTGCATCAAATCTAGTGATAAATGTGTTGAAGGACCTTTATTATGTTATAGATAGTGAACTTGACTGTATAATGAGTAGGGCTGTTTGGTCCAACCAACAGTTCAAAATCTAAACATATTTAACTTACTTTCACATAAGATAGCAAAAAGTACCTAATTCTCACTCCCCAGTGCATCAGCTCTAATAATAACATGGCAGCACTCAACACAGTATGCGATCCTGCAGCAGTCTCTGAGATGGATGGACTAGTCCACCTTCTTCAGTATCTTATTTTATCACACTCGGGCAACATGTTGAAAGCCTCCTCACTGAGGTCGTTGTACTGCAGGCTGAAAGAGTTAGAAACAAATGCAGTGTTTAGATTCTGCTTCAAAAATGCTTTATGTGAAACATACTGGCGCACGGTAGTTTATAATTGCCTTATTGATTAACGCTTACTTCATCTCCTGCATGTTGGGGCTGTCCTCCATGACTCGGATAAGGGCTGGGACAGAAGCATCAGTCAGAGAGTTGTTTCTCAGTTCCAGGTTCTTCAAAGTCTTACTGGCTCTTACAGCAGCACACAAGTCCTCAACACAGCTGTCTGTCAGAGCAGTCATTTCAACACTATGACAGAGGAGAAAGCAGACAGATTTGCATGTGGTGTACACTGCAATGTGGTGATTAAAAAAAAAAAAAAAAAAAAAAAAAAAGGTATAAGAGAGTGTTTGTTAACTCACTCAAGTTCCTCCAACAGACAGCTTGGATGTGCAACAGCATCCCAAAGATGTTTAACTCCTTGGTTTCCGACTTGATTCACACCTACAAAAAGGGACTTAAGCTGCGAATTCCCACTTCTCAGCAGTGAGCCCAGTTCCTTGAAGACCGGCTGGGTTAACTCACATCGTTTCAGCCTGTAGGGTGGAGCAGATTTCACTGGTGATGCTATCAGAATTTCACCAAATATTCGTGAAAGGTACTTTATTACCAAAAAGTAAAAAGTGACTCTACCCGAGTTTTTCCATTGGACATCCGGGTTGACTGAGGGCTTGGCAGAGCAGCAGCACACCCTCCTGGCCCAAATCATTCACTGACAGATCCAGCTCTGACAGAACGCAGTGCTCTGACATCAAGGACTCCATCAAATGAGGACAGCACACACCCGTCAGCTCATTATCAGACAGTCTAGAGGGAGAAATAATACATAAGTAAAAAGTCACACGTAGCAGAACATTTTTATTTAATTTATCCACTGTTTAAGGGAGACTTGCACTTCAACCAACTAGGCTATCTCACATGTCACTGTTTAGTTAGATTACTGTTACTCTAATAAGCTATCATATTTGAAATGCATTTAGTAACTTTTTTTTTTTCTAGGCAAACATCACACACACACACACACACACACACACACACACACACACACACACACACACACACACACACACACACACACAATAAAAAAACAATATTCTGAAAAGAAAGATTTTAAGCTTATGAGCGAGTCTGAGGGACTGGTATATGCTTGAAAAACAGAAATGTAGTTTTTGGCCTGTGACTAAAAGGGTTTTTGAATTTTTAACTTTTTTTTTTTTTTTTACTTTTGCAAACCATGTAGAACTTCAAAGGAAAGGCAGTGACTGCACTTTTATCATCTTGAAACACAGACTTACTTGAGGCTTTGCAGTTTACAAAGTCGGTGTTGCAGGGCCTTGCACAAAGCCTCCACTCCACTGTCACCGATCGTGTTTCGTGCTAGGCCCAATTCTCTCAGCTCTGAATTGCCAGAACACAAAGCCGCTGATAAAGCTTCCATGGATGCTGCAGTCAACTCACAGCTTTGCAGGCTTTTAATAAAGAAAATAAAGTCATTTTTCAAACCTTCAAGTCAATGATTTAAACAAATAGACAGGGCTGGCGAAATAAAAGACTTTTATTATAATACTGCACTTTTGATAATACATACTAGAGCTGCTGTAGTCTGCAGTGAGGACTATGGAGTGCTTTGCACAGTTTCATCAAGCCCTGGTCCTCGAACTCATTAAAACTTATATCACACACACACAGCTGAGAGGCGGCTGAGGTCAGCACTAACACCAGATCTTCACAGCTGGCCTCAGTCAGTCTGCATACTTGAAGACTAGGTAAATAAAAAAACAAAATATCAAGAATGTATTAATTGAACAGAATGTTTTTTGCTTTTGACAAATGGCTGTTAGCATAAATTAAGCAAATTAAAAAGAATGTCTTGAGCAAGTCTTACTTCAAGTTGTGCAGTTTGCAGTCCCTGAGTCCAGCACAGAGAATTTTAAACTTTTCCTCTCCGAGGCGGGTATAAGTAATATCCAGCTTCTCGGTGAGTCCTCTGCTGAGAGCTGAAGCCAGGTGAGGGACAGCCCCTGCGCTCAAGGAGCTGTCTGCCAAGCTGTGGGACAGGGGAGCCAGATTTTACATAAGATGGCACACTAAACACCTGAACTAAATGATGCCTCGACACATGAAATTTTTACCATGACTTACAGTATCTTGTGTGATAAGCTCATAGCTGGAGCGAGGACTTCTGCTTGCTCCTCTGTCAAATTCCTTGTTCTGTACAGATTCAACAGCTTCATCTCACCAAGGCACGTGATGACATAGTTCAGAGCTACACAGTCCTGAAGGTTCAGGTCGCCATAGCTGATGCCTATTCGTGCTGATGGGGTGATGATCTCTTTCACCAAACTCTTATTTTGAGCTTGATGAAGCAGATGGAAGCACCGGTGGTGCCTGTCTTTGAAAAATCCCTTCAGTGTTTCCTCTGAGCTGCTTTTAAACCAACTTTTGAAATTCATGACCTGGTCTGGGTTTAACTCCCCCAGCAGGGTCTCCAGTGGTCTGCACTGAATTGGCTCTGAGAGCCCTGACAAGAAGAGATCTAGAAATTTTGCATGACCTTTGTGCTCTTCCAACATCTTCTCCACTCCCTCAGATGTTGACTTGTCCAAAAAGAAAGACACAGCTAAGATGAACTCCTGCATCAGCTGGGAGGTGAAAGAGAAAACACATGTGTCTGACTCCAGGTCACCATCTACTTGCAAGAAAACACCAACTGATGCAATAAATCGTTGCAAACCAAAGGAATCAAGTTCCTCTTTGGTGCAGCTCAAATGTTGGCCAAGAGAGCAATGAGAAGCCATCCTGCCAAGGGCCAGCACCAGTTCTCTGTTGCAGGCCTTGTCCAGCGAGAGTGGTTGAATCAGGTGAACCAGGATATCCACAAACAACTGAGATAATGTTTCAGGAAGTTTTGCTCCAGCATTCATCAGAGTCTTGTAAATAGAGCAAACTGTCCAGCAGAATCTAGGAGAGGTACAGAAATCATAAAAACCTAGAGTCTTTTCCATGTGCATCAGTGCTTTATTGGCAGCAACTGGGTCAGTAAAGAACCCGTTAAAATAAGCCTCTCTTTGGGGCTTCAGAAACCCCAACACTTCCACCCGGGTGCCACTCAGGCATGTCAGACATCCAGTCGGCCTGGTTGCCACCATAAAGGCAGCTCCTTTCAGCAGCGATCCGTGAAGCAGACTGGCTATCAAACAGGACACTGAGACTGCCTGGCTGGGGTCAGAGCAGAGGGTGTGGACTGAGGGGTCCAGGTTAAGTTTGTATTGATCCAGATCATCAAAAACAAACAACACATCCTCAGGCTTCTGCAGAACTCGGGGCATGGACTCAGAAGAGATATGACTGTGATGGTGTTGCATTAATGTCTCCAATGACAGCATGCCTTCAAGAGAACTTATCTCCCTCAGCCGGAAATAGAAGACATAAGCAAAATTTTGAAGGTGTTCACCTCTGGCCCAATCCACAACTAGCTTCTCCAGTGCAGTGGTTTTACCCGAGCCTTCTGCACCCATCAGTATCACAGTCCTGATTTCACCAGACAGAGCGGCGAGGATGGCATGATCAAGGGAGGACAAGTTGTCGTCTACATTTCCATCTGTCAGCGGAGCTTCAGGAGTCAGCTGGGATATGTACTTATTGTTGTTTATCACACTGACAGGCAGCTCTCCACCGAGGATTGTTGACATGCCATTCGGCTTCAGGATATGAGTCAGCACAGTGTTTTTGTCCATTGCGTAAGTCCCTGTTGAGAATGTGAATACATAAAATATAATTCACAGTTCCGGCGGCATGCAGGGAACATTTCATTCATGTCTGCAAACAGTGTAATAAACTCTACCTCCCTACTTTGAAGGCTCCACCTACATGTCTTAACATACTGAGCAATTCAGTGTCTTAAAAAATTACAATGTGCAGAGGAAAGTGCGTTTACCTTAGACGAGGTGCTGCTGGAAAACAATGAGACAACGTGTTGTTAAGAAAGGCACATCTTTAGATTGCAGACAGATTTCCGTTATGAAGACAGAGGTTACGCCTACAATGGGATTACAACAATTTCCCACCGTTGAACCGCGAGTGGCAAGACAGGAAGAGAAAAACTGTGATTAATACCCTGAGAGATGCCTTACAGGCACAACAAGGCGCGCCGCAACTAAACTGCTATCTCAACTACTCCAACAAGAGTCAGTTTGAAAATAGCCTGCAAGCAATAACACTGAGCAGCTGTTTTAAAATACTCCTACATACAGTTATAGGTAGGGAAAAAAATCAGTGGTGGAAAATCACTGAGTAACTACTACATTACAAGTGCTGTACAAAAGTACAATTTACTTCTGTTTTACTTTTGCAACTCCATTTTATGATACTTCCTACTCCACAACATCTCAGAGGGAAACGTTTCACTTAGTACTCCACTTTACTCTGCAGATCCAAATTATTAATACAAAATAGAATCAACAAATAATGTATTATTATAGATTAAGATATGCAGCAGTAAATGATATAGTTAAAATTAACCCCATCTTTACCAGCTGCAATATTAAAGTGATGATATACATTAATACATAAATAATCGTAATTCAATAATATAGAATCATTTACAATTCTTCTGAATTGAACAATTCTGCATGATGAGTATGTTTAGCTTTAGTACTTAGTAGTAGCACTTAGTTAGCACTAAGTATATTTTGATGCAGGGTTCGAATTATGACTGACTGACTGAGTAAATACAAAATATAATCATACTTTTTAAAGTTTCATGGGTCAGAGGGCAGTCTGATGTTGGATTCATCTGCTTCAGGGCAAAATGAGCTGTAGTTTCTCTCAGCGAGCACTAACTAGCAGCAATATATTTCTTTTCCAGGGTTTTGGCTGAGTTGTCTACTCTATGGTCTTTACTGGATTTGTATTATATAAAGTCTGATTTATGCAAAAGTTGGCTCTGCTTGGTCAACACCAAGGATGTAATCATCATCTATTATTATCCATTCTCCAGTTCTTTTGTTCAGTGTCACATCAGCAGTTGTGGCCAAATTTTGCAGCATGCTTTGACGGAGGTGGAGAGAGAATAACAAAATGTGCTGAATTCAATGTCTATTTAATTATTACCCAAGAAAAATGATACAAATGATCGTGTAGCTGAAATCATCTTTATGATAAATATGGAAAACAGTTAATAATGTCACATCCGACACAAATATAAGGGAAATAAACAATTAACACACACAGTTGGCTCATGGGTGCAGTAGGCTCATTGTGGGTTACAAGGAGATTAATGTAAAGGTAGAGTTAAGTGGCCACGGTGATGCAGCAGTTCAGAGTACTGCATGGTGTTTTGCCTTAGTTGTATGATCTGTCGTGGGTCTCCACGGTCTTGATGAGAAGTGGACTTCGGTGGTGTTTAACTGAGGCTGTAAAAAGAAGACGGTAAAAAGGTCAAACAAACACAAACAGGACAGGATGTCCTTCTAATCCCAGTGATACTGATAATTATGGTGTCATCTTCAGTTGTAAAATACAGTACTTACTTTTATTGGGCACTGTTTGGATGTTGAGAATAGAGTCCTGTCCAAGTCTGTTAGTGAGAAAGCAGGAAATAGACTGTAAACACTGATGTGGCAGCAAAGTGAATGGTTGTTAAAGGTGAGGTCCACTGATTTTACCTCAAAGCCTGTTTTCAGGGCATGGGAAGTATAACTTCTGCATATGTGAAAAAAGGTGTATGAAGCCTTTTATGACCCCAGAGGGAGCTGCCTCATCATAAAGGACGCTGTAGTTGCACTTTAAGGGTGGTGGGGCTGCTAACCAGATTTAAACTTGCCAAAAAAAAACAATTAGTCCACAAATTCAAAAAAAATATTGTTTGAAAACACTACCAATAAAGCATAAATCTCATCTTTGTGCTGTTTGTCAAAGTTTTTTAGTGTGAGGTGGGCTCACTGTTGCCCTCCTGTGGCTACTGGGGTAAAAACACTCACTACAACTGCATTTCTCACCAACTGTCAGGTATCAGTGGGTGTTTTCCTACCTCACCCAAGTGACTTATGCTAAACACAGAAACATGTTAACAAAGTAAAGACTGACAGAGTGCACACAGCCTGGCAAGAAATGTAAGAAAACATGAAAAGAGTGAGTGATCCTAACAGACCTCATTTAGGTTGTTTTTTAAAAAAGAAAGAAATTAGCATGTAATCAGTGAGTAATCAGTAAGATACAAGAACCTGACACTACTGATATCAACCCATACCACTCACCTTTCCTCCTCTCCCTCCAGCAGTTTCCTGTAGGTAGAGATCTCTATGTCCAGGGCCAGCTTGACATTCATGAGCTCCTGGTACTCTCTCAGCTGGCGAGCCATGTCCTGTTTGGCCCTCTGAAGAGCCAGCTCCAGGTCCCTGATGCGAAGCTTGGCATCCTGCACGGCCGCCTCCCCGCGCTGCTCCGCTTCGGCCACCTGGCCCTCTAGAGTATCACGCTGAAAAAAACAGAAATGCAGGGATAGATGGTGTAAGCATTCAACTAGATCTGAGCCTCTCAGTCATATGACTGGAAATTCTTGTATAGACTATCCCCTTGTGAGCTTGTCATGACCCTTTGTTAATGTGGCTTGTGTTAACACCTAGACAAAACAATTAGATGCTGCCAGACGACCAGACTGTTTCATATTAATTTTATTATTTTGTCATATTATTGTCTAGTAGCATGCCAGCTTGACACACAAACCACAATAGAACAAAACTGGATGTTTGATTGTTTGGCTGTGTTGCTGGTTTCCTTCCACAATCAGTTATTACCAATAAATACACAACTTTCACAGTCTTTAAAATCTCTGAACAGCAATAAAGCTTGTTGTTGCTATGGTGTCTCTGATTGGAGGATTATTAAGCTTGAAAAGTGCCGCTTTTCCTCCATGTAATGTAGTATCTTTTTGGATTCCTCTTTGCACGTCATTCTTTGCTGATTTGCAGCACATAAACCTTAAGGCAGCATTATCCAACAGAGTCTAAGATCGAACCGTGCGTTCAGCTGCCTTTAACTTTCAACATTATCAATCTCTCTGCTAATCTGTCACTCACCTGTGCCTTTACAGTCACAATCTCATTCTGCAGGCGGCTGATCATTCGGGTGAGCTCAGATATTTCTCCCTTGGTGGTACGCAGCTCATTTCCATACTGGTCAACCTCAGCAGTCATCTGGTCAAACTGGTACCGGTAGAGATCCAACAGAGGATGAAGATGTCAAATCAGTGATTATCAGGTTTGACAACAGTGGTTCCTGTCAAAAAGACAGGATATTCTAGTATATTTATGAGTTTTAGTTAACTGTTGACCCCTTTTCTATTTCTAGTTTTAAAAAAGCCAAAGATATAGTTAAAATGCCTTAATTATGTTAGGGCATATCAGAGTAAAATATATAACAAAAAATCCCAAAAAGGGAATAAAACGCCGACCGGTTTCGATCACCTCCATTCCAACCACACCCCGAGGAAGACCCTGAGGTGGTTGAAACCGGTCGCGATTTTATCCCCTTTTTGGGTAACCATTTAAACTTCAAGGGCACCTTTCATTTACCTGGAGATTTACTAACTACCCGTTATTTTTCTTTGTATTTTTAGCATTTAGATCTAGGGTCATGCATTTTAGCTCTTCACCTTGTTCTTGTACCAGCTTTCAGCTTCCTCACGGCTGCGGGCAGCAATGTCCTCATACTGAGCCTTAACTTCAGCCACGATGTGATCCATGTTCAGGCCACGGGAGTTGTCCATCTGCACCACCACAGATGTCTCCTTCAGGCTCTCCTGCAGCTCACGCACCTCCTTTTATAAAAACAGTAGATACAGCAGAAGTGAGAAGACACAATCCTTGTATGTATGTATGTATGTATGTATGTATGTATGTATATATATATATGTATATATGCTGAATTTATTTTTATTGATTGAATATCTTTAAAATTTTTGAGAAGATTTTCAGTGAATGGTTGTGTACCGCATCATACAGAGCCTTGAGGAAGTTATATTCGTCAGTGATAGCAGCCACGCTGTCGTCCAGATTCACCTTGGACAGATAGCCTGCATCCACATCCTGCAGAGAGTCAGTAAAAAAAAAAACCAAAGCTTTTCTCAGTACATACCATTCTTCAGTGTTATACATGGACACACTTAGAAAACAAATATCTATCATAGTCTGCATACTGTACCTTTTTGAGCATGACAAACTCATTCTCTGCTTCATTCCTCTTGTTGATTTCATGCTCATACCTGAAACACACCACAAATACCAGATTACCCTTGCAGATCTTATCAGTATCTACTTACTTTTCATATGTCTCAACCTCAGCTTACAGACTTGACAAGGTGGTTCAGACCTGCACAAAAAATGTCTTACTTTGTCTTGTAGTCGTCAACATTTTTGTGCATGACATTGTTCTCCATGTCAAGCCTGTGTTTGTCATTGTTGAGAAACTCCAGCTGTCTTTGCAGGTTGGTGATGTAGGACTTCAGCATGGGCTCGATGTTAGAGGAGGCGGCAGTCTGTCCCTGCAGCAGCTTCCATTTGGTCTCCAGCATTTTGTTCTGCTGTTCCAGGAATCTTACCTGTGACACAAGGAGGAAGTACCAACAAAATAAAACAGATCCCAACATCTTTTAATACAGCATATATGTTTCAATGTAAGGTCAAAGGTCAATAAACATGGTTTCAGAGGTCTATAATGTATCTAAATAGATTAGCTGGATAATCAAAATGATTAAGACTAAAAATTCATCATCAGAAGTTCAGTGAAATTTCTCCTTACCTTATCAATGAATGAGACAAAGCGGTTATTGAGAGTCTTGATCTGCTCTTTCTCCTTGGTGCGGACAGCTTGGACGGTGGGATCAATGTCTATCTTCAGAGGGGTGAGCAGGCTCCTGTTGATGGTCACAGGTGTAATCTGGTTCCCAGTGGCAGTGCTGATTTTGGGGATGGAGTAGGACCCCATGGAAAAGCTGCTGAAGCCCCCTGACGACTTATGCAACCCTGGGCGGCTGATGTGCTTGCTCCTCAGACTCATGGTGGTGCTGTGTGGAGATCTCTGGAGCTGGAGAGGATGGAGAGGTCTGGCGGTGGTTGAGCCCTCTTGTGCATCTCTTATCTTTTGGGTGTCACTTTATAGACCAGGCTGGGTGTGGCGTGATAGTGAAGTTATGTGGCTCCCCAATGTGGGTAAACCAGTCTGACGCATGCCACCTGTGCTCCCACCTACCCCCACTGTAAAGACTGCATTGTTCCTTGTTGTAACGCTGGAATCCAGGCCTGGTCCGTGGCTTCAGGCATGCTGCATTTGAACAGTATACTAAATTATTTACTGGAGGTGAGCTCTGAGTCTTAATTAGAGAGATAAATGGTGCAATCCAAGAAGTCATCAAGACTAAAGCACGGGTGGAATCACAATAAATATTTGTATTGGCTTTTATGCCCCAGTGAGATTTCAGTATAGTGTACAGTAGCAACACCAGGTCACAATAGCTGTAAGTACTGTGTGAGTTTCAAGTGATTTAAACTGCAGGATTATCACAAGTCCTCCATTAAAAATGAAGCCCACAAAAGCTGCTTAAGGTCAAAATACACAAAACAATGATTTACAAAATACTCTCTATAGATTACCTACAAAATGTGCCCAAACATCATTAAATTATGTATAATGCACTGGCTATGGGAGACTCTTACGCTTTACCACAGATCAATCAGTGAACCCAAAGAATACTGTAACATATGTGACATGTTGGAGGTTTTAAATCTTTTCCGGCACCTAAAACAGTTAAGATCTGTGAGAAAAGTACAGGCTGAGTCAAAAACATAACATTATACTTAAGCTACAGTATATATAGTTCAGTTCTGTTTAGTGCAGTGTCATTAAGCATAGTTGGTGAAAGGTGGTTGTAAACAATAGCTAAAACTGGTCTGGCATCTCAGTCTTTCCCTTGTTTTCACACTTTAACCCTCTCCCTATTCAGACTGGTTGTCCAATCACCGCACTGCCTTAAAAAAACAGAGAAATAAGTTTCTCATTCAAGTGTCAAGTGCAGCTTTAATCTGGAGGTTAGGTGCGGCTGTGTGCCATTGAAGCTGTGACATCTACACAACATCAACACTTGATTGGAGGTAGGTAAAGTCTGTGTTGTGTATATTTAAACGTAATAACAAATCATTTTCAAAATGTATTTTATATAATTCTCTAAGTCTCTGCTGTGTTTTCTTGTCAGGCATGAAGATCGCTTCATTCAATGTACGGAGGTTTGGACTTGCAAAAGTCTCAGATCCAGATGTCCTATCAATTCTGGTTAAGGTAAAACACGTCTCAATGGCATTTTGTTTAGGCACAGTAAAGCAAGTCTCGGTGGGAGCTTTAGTTTACAACAGTACGCAATTAAAGATTAGTAATAATCATGAGAATTAAGGGTTTAGTTTTGGGACGGAGGAGAGACTGAGGGGGAACAAGGAACAAGGAATAAGTGGTAGTGTGTGAAAATGAAAATGTTACTTTCTCTGTCATTACACTCTGTATCTGCTAAAACTGTCACAACTTCAAATGGAAAAATGCCTGTTTCGTATGTATTACTCACACCTTTCTTCCTCTCAACTTCACACTTTTACTTGCTATTGGATGCTTTTGTTTTTTTATAGATTGTGTCTCAATACGACATCATATTGATTCTGGAGGTCGTGGATCTAAGTGGAGATTCTGTTAAACTGTTCTTGAAAGAACTGAACAGGTGAGTTTACATCTTTTATTTGTGAATGAAGCAAATACTGTTGAAGCTGCTTTTTACTGCCCAGTACGCATGCTTACTTTTACTATTCTATACATCTCAGGGTCAACACAACCCATCACTATGCTCTACAGATCAGTAGCCGCTTGGGAAGGAACAGATACAAGGAGCAATTTCTGTTTCTCTACAGGTGAGATCAAATCATGTTGCCGAACTGCAATACTTCCTTAATGTAACCACTAAACAGCTGCACTAAAAGATATTTGGTTTGCTGGAAGGGATGATGTGGTCAGCTTGGTTGACTCCTATCAATATGAAGACAACCAGGTGAACGACATGGACGCTTTTGCAAGGGAGCCGTATATTCTCCACTTCAAACCACACAACACAGGTCAGTCTCGGCGCTTAAGCCAAAGCTGAAGCTTAAGGTGTAACAGTTACTAGATCAGTATCAGTGCGTTTGTTGATGTGATTGGTTGCTGCGGTGTCTTTGGTATGTCTGAGTCATGTCTACGTGGACCTGTTTGTTTTTCCAAAGTGAATGAGTCCGATTTAGTTTTAACATGCGAATACAAATAGGCAGCAGGTTTATCAAGTTCAGTCAGTCAACATCATGCGTGTGCATCTTTACATGTTTGAGTTACATCATGATGGGGCACGTTATAGCAAACAAGCATGTCTGGTTTTACCAAACTGTTTTTGTTGCAGTGCTGAAGGATGTGGTGCTGATCCCGGTGCACACCAAACCATCGGACTCAGAGAAAGAGCTGGACGAGCTGTACGAGGTCGTCCTGATGGTCAAAGATAAATGGAAAACTGATGTGAGTTGCATCATCCTGCTGCAGTATTTTAGCATCATTGCTTCACCTTAAAGCAGTGCATTAATTAATTCATTTACACTGTCATATCAGAGGATCAAACCAATTATATGGCCTGTAAATAATCATTGAACAATGTTGTAACGCAGCCACTTTTGATGGGATTTCCCAGTTTTCTTAGATCCCAACTGCAGGATATTTTATTAGGGCTGAAGTGGCTGTTTTCGATTTCCTCCAGAACATAATGATCCTGGGGGACTTCAATGCAGATGGTGCATATGTCACACATAAAGAAATGAAGGAGATCCGTATTCGCAGCAACAAGAATTTCCACTGGCTGATTGGTGATGACATGGACACCACTGCAAATACATCAAATGATCACACCTACGACAGGCATGTGTACATCACTACACTTTGTTGTTTGTTTCTTTTGGGTTTTTTTGCAAGAAAGCGAATAGTAGTGGAAGGATTACTTCTGAAGAAAATGAACATATTGATTAATGGCATGAACTGAATATTTCTCTAACAGGATTGTTGTGTATGGAGAAGACATGCTGGCAGCCATTGTGCCAAACTCAGCCAAGCCTTTTAATTTCCACACAGAGTTTGATATGACAGAAGAAATGGTAAGTTAGTGTCTTCAGGACCCATATGTTATAATCGTACTTTACTTATCCACCTTAATAGCTTTTTCACCGCCTTGTTTGTGGTGATATAACTGATTCAGCATATGCAACCTCCTGCAGGCCCTGAGAGTGAGCGATCACTACCCTGTTGAGGTAGAATTACGAAGCGCTCCTCCTTTCTGGATGGCAAAGAGCAACCAAAGATGCTCCAACGCTGATACCCAGCAAGCATCTGTTAACACAACTGTCACAGGTCATAAGCAAAACTATAATTCACTCTATCCTGTCAACGACAGACAACTTGTCCTTGATGTGGAGCTGTTTTGACATTTACACTGCAGAGTTGCCTCTGAGAAAGGCAGGGGTACAAATAATGAGAGGGAATGCTTGGAATTTGAGAGTGTTTCTCGTAAATCAGTTTAGAGATTAAAGCACATGCTTTAAAGGTGGGACTTTCCACTCTTTATGGTTAGGTATGCATTCTGTATTTTCCTTATTGTCTATAATCTCATTAAAATTGTCTATTTTCAAAGTTTATTCCAAGTAGCAAAATTATCCTGGTGAATACTTGAGCCACAAATTTGTGTTTCTTCTGGCTACATACAACATGATTGTCAGATGACACTTCCACATCTGGACCAATTCTGGTGCACACACAGAAAATCTCCATGGCTGTCAGCCAACACTGGAGGATAACAGCAGGAATCAGCCCAGATGTGGATGTTTATTGGCCAAACTTGGGCCAAGGACCCAAGTCTATATTGGGCCAGAAGCTTTTACTGGAAAAATCTTGCTATCCTCTGTCCTGGAAAGCATAAACACAGTAACTACTGCACATATATTAATCAGACTCTTGTTAAGATCAGAATCTGACATTTTGCATCTGTTCAATCATATAAAAAAATATTATGACATAAAATGTATTTAAAAAATTCTAACCCAAACATAGAGGCACTAAAGCATCGCTGGCATGAATGGTGCTTTTATTGCTAATTATTCAAGAAAAAATAGATAACATGCAACAAATCAAATTGTTATTGCATCAGTGTCCCTCCTGTTTAATTAGAACTTCTTAATTTTGTTGAATTAAAAATACACATATTTGAGTAGAGAATTCTTTTCAGTGACAGGTATTACATACTTACTAATTACGTGTGTTTTTCTACTCCCAGAGAGTTTACAGGTTGATGTGCTGAAACTGCAGAAAGAAAACCTCCTGCTGCTACAAGAAAAACTTCAACTTCAGATTTCCTTATTAAAACACCGACTTGGCAAACTGGAACTGGAAGAATGACCAGTAGATCTCAAATGCTTCTGGTTTTACTAAGCTATTTTTGTGTTTCATCATCATTTGTATGTAGAACTGATATTGCAAAATAAATTAATAATGGTTTGGTCCCATAATTTGCCCTTTGCCTCTAAATTCTTTTTATGAGGTAAATAGCACTGATATGAAACACACAAAACACAAAAAGTTAAAAATAATGTAAGCCTATTGAGATCTATCTGTCTGAAATGTGACATTTATAATCATGGGAGATACTCAAGGGTGTGTAGATTATCTTTTTTTCATTAAAGACAACAGAGGTTATAGTTTTTACTTCCAATTATCATCACAAAGTCTCTAATTTAATCTGAGGTGCAGTGATGAAATAAGAGTGTACACACATTCTTATTGATGTCATTCCTGACAGTGCACTTAAAATACAGCTATAATCCTCATTTTGTATTTTTTATTGGAGTAAACAGTCCCTGCAGATCATTCCTGCAGATCCTGCAGGAATGATCACCCAGTCTTTCCAGTGATCTGATTGACCAGCAATCAGGCTATGATAGGTTGTGATCTGATCCTATTAAGTTAATCTGCTTCTAGACAGGTTACCATAATGATCTTCCCCTGTTACCATGGTGATCTACCTGGGTTACAATGGTGACCTACACCTGTTACCACGGTGATCTACTCTGGTAAAAAGTCAGCCTGGCACATAGTTCAAAAGAGTTGTATTTAGTCTCTTAATTAATTGTGGGAATGTTTTGGGCATAACACGTAATAAACCAATCAGAGTGCCATCTCCCATTCCCTTCAAAAGCCAGAGTTTTACACAGAATTAGATTCTATTTGTGGCGAATTCATAATATATTGAGAATGGCCAGTGAACCCAGTCCCAGGACACACACACACAATGTGATAAAACAATATATGATTAAAAAAGGTAAAAATAAAAAAGAGCTCATAGACAGGTGTCACTTAGGTCAATACAAACCCTCTTGTGAAAATAGCAGAGATATCAAGACCAATACTGTATATGACATAAAAGGCTCCCATACTATATGTGAAATACATTGTCTTTGCAATGTAACATACATGTCAAATAATCCAAAAATACATATTCAAGTATGATTTTATGCCAATATGTTTTGGATGGAACTTGAATTTTCTTGTACAGAATGCAAGCATTTTATAGAGTTTCCTTTTATACTTGTGAGTAATACAGGTAGTAACATGCATAGTGGGTCACACTCTGTAGTAATAGAGAGGAATTTATTAATTTCACTCCCTATAATCTGCCAAAATTGCAGAATTTTCCTGCAAGACCATAGGCAATGGGTGAGAATCCCTGTCTCTATTTTGCATTTGGGACACTCTGGGGAGGAGTCCATATCAAACTTATGACGTTGGGAGGGGGATATGTGTGCATATTTGCTTTGCTATATAACTTCTTTAACTAACAAGTTCTGATGAAGTCTTTGACTCTTGTGTTCTTAACAAACCCAGGGGCCTCACCAAAACAGGTGTATAATATTGATTAGTGATTTTCATTCTAAACCTTATTATTACGCTATTATATAGCACACTGCAACAGAGCGTCCAACTAATTATATTGCTTCTGAAGGTAACATTATGAACCGAACTGAATTGAGGTTTGCAGGTTGAATAGGCTACTATTGCAAACCAAAAATATTTTGTGGTGTTAAACTCATGTCATTTACTAGTGATTCATTAAAATTATTATTGTTGTAAATTAAAATATCATACACATAAAGATATTAATGTATTAATTGTTAATCAGTGAAACTAGTGATTTAACAGGGGTCATGTCAACATGTCATATCACAACAGGTTGAACACTTTTGCAAGGCACTGTATGCGTGTCACCTTCTGAACCCCTATAAAGGTTTGATCCTAGAGTCGCTCCTGCCAGAAATCCTGATTTAAACTCAAAGATATCTTGATAACCAATTGACCATGACTCTTGGTACAGGCCCCTTGGTTTTTGCCCCACAGCTGTTCCATGGCTCGAACAGCTTGTTTCAGGATTTGTGATAAAGGCACACTGCCGCTATTTGATTCGGTTTAATTGCAGTAAACGCCTTTTGAAAACCCACGACGAAAAACTACAAAAACATAAACAAAATTTAAAAAGGATTGATAGAACGCTGACGTGTGCTGCATTCAATGACCGACGTGAGCTCCGATTCTAGGTGTTACATCGCCTTTAAGGCAAACTGTCACTCATTCAAATTACCTGCGGGTAGGAATGTCAACAAAATGGACCTGATGTAAAATAAGGTTTAGTCGGCTGGTATTCATGTGATGTAAAAAATAAAGCGGGATACATCACGTTACAGGAGAGTAATAAACACCTGCCGTTCTACGAAGAATCCTCAGATTACCGATATTCTGTACAGCAAGCGACGTAGACACACTGTAGTCACGTGACTGTTGGAAATCTTCAACCAAAACACTGAGGACCCGAGCAGATTGTAAACAACTGCAAGAAACTGTGACAGCCAGCCAACTTTCTCAGCGTCGATCCAGCAAACTGTGAAGCTACACCGAATCACCAGTAACCTGTCCAGTAGACAGGCCGTCTCAATGCATTACAGAGGACCGAAAACACCGAGGGGATCATGGATGTGTACGATTTGTTTAGTAGTTGCAGAAAGGGCGACATTTGTAGAGTTAGGTAAGCAACTGTCGCTTCACTGTCGATATGTTGGCTTCTGTGCCAAAAGCTAATTTAATTTACTTTACACTGTTGTTGTTAGCCTTGTTAGCTACTCCTTTTCGCAGACCGGTCTTATAAAACATTAGCCTTCATTTATTTGGCCTGCTCTGGACTGTAGCGTTGAAGCTGAACATGACGCTAACTGCATCGTTTTGCAAAGAGGTAAACACCGAAGGCAAAGTTGCTAACATTAGCTTTGATGACCTAGCTAGTAACTTTAGCTAACGTTTGTAGGTCAGCTCCTCAGTTTCACCTGGAAGCTGAGGAGCTAGCTGTCAGTGTAAGAGGATGGTATGTGGAGAATTTCTGCTGCCGGGTATACAGCTTAGACTTTGACTGATGTAAGATACTTTCTCTGCTTTGGGACATTCAGTTTCAATGCAGTTTTAACTATCTACCTAACCTAGTACATTTGTCCAGCTTGGCGGAATATAGGATATGTTTCATGAATGCAGTCTACATGTATATACACAAACATACTGTGTACAGCAATACAGAAGGAGGCTCCGCCCATCCTCACACGATGACGTCGAATAAGTAATTTTGAAAACAACTTCAAGCATCCCTATCAAAACCAGCAATAAGCCATCTTTCTATCAGTAGAGAGTCGTCAACTGTATCAAATGCATTTTCTAAATCTTTGAACACAGAGGCACAATGTTTCTTTCCTAAACTGGCAATCAAATCACTTAATACTAGTGTGACAGCTGAGATGGTTCTTTGATTAGCTGTAGTTATTGGCATCATTACTATCTCCACCTTTGTGCAAAGGGACCACATGAGCTGATTTCCAAACACTAGGAACTATTTCTGATGAGATAAAAAGGTTCAATATATATGTGATGTGCTACTTAATAAGAGGTGCAGATCAACTTGAGGAAAAAAGGATCCAAATTCTCCTCACCAACTGACTTCCTGATATCAATGGCCTACCATAGGCATATGCATACTATCATTAATTGTGGGAGGGGTTCCTATAGGTCTATTGCTCAATTTAACTTTTTTCTCAGCTTAATTAGAGTAAATTTAATTTAGTGAAAAATAACTCAACTTTATTTAATTGAATACATGTAATTAATTTATTAATTATAATTTATTCATCAAATAGTTGTACTGTTTTATTTATTTAATCAATTTCATTCAATTTAATTTAGTAACTTTCTCAGGTTATGACAGGTTGTAATTGTGTAGACTGTAACCACTCACTTCTTTTCTTCTCTTTCTAAGATACCTTGTTGAACAAAGAGATGTGGACCTCAATGTAAGAGATAAATGGGACAGCACCCCGTTGTAAGTGCACTTTAGGCAAGGAGTCTAATCGTTTGGCTGACATGCTATCATTATCCCGACCACCTGAAATGTGATCACTCTTGTTCTTCAGGTATTATGCCTGTCTCTGTGGTCATGAGGAGCTGGTCCAGTACCTGTTGGCTAGTGGTAAGGCTGGTAACACAAACATAATGAAAATATAAAGTGTGATTACCTATATTCCACTATAGTTTTGTGTTGAGCATTACATTTCAACACTGAAATGTACTGTAGTATCATATGAGTTTTTTCTTTTCATTGATTTCAGGTGCCAAGTGTGAAGCCAACACGTTTGATGGTGAGAGGTGCATGTATGGCTCCCTAAATGACTCTGTTCGACGCCTGCTCAAAGATTATAAATGTGTCACTGTCCGTGCCATGCAGCGGGATGATTTTAACTACTTTCTGCACATGTAAGGGTCAAATGCCTGATAGTTATTCTTGTAAATTATTTAACTTTGCTACAGAGCAGTTCATTTTCCTCATCTGTTTTAAAAATTAACATTGACAAGAAACAGGAAAATGATATTAATGAACTAATAATGCACAGTATGCTACCTTTATAGTTTGTGCATTAATCAACTGGACAATCTGCACACAGTTTGTTAATCTAATCCAAATGTTTGTATGTTTTTACCTTAGGTTACTGGAGCAGGGTCAACACAGTGACGTCAAGTTCCTGGTTCATGGACAAACATTTCTGGCCCACCGCTGTGTTCTCAGTGCACGCTCAGAGTACTTCACTGAAATGTTTGAGACCAAATGGAAAGGGAAAAACTTGATAACCCTCAAACATCCTTTGGTAGATAAATATCTAAATGGCTGCTGCTTTGTAGTGTCTGCTTTGTTAATACATTGTCATGTCTATTACACACTAATACACTCATATTGTGTCATATCGGTATCTATATGCATAAAAGCTGTTTTGATTTCAGATCAACCCTGCAGCCTTTGGAGCCATCCTGCGATATTTCTATACAGGTTTGTGTGTTTTAGAGCAGCAAATATTCAGGCTTCTACGTTGATCACACTCTCTAAACTTTGCAGGAAAATTCAGTCTGCACTACTTTTTAGTTTTAATGTGTCAATAACAAAGCTCAACCATGCCCAATTAACTGGAAACTTATTGATGTGGAGATTCTGACCACTACCACTATAGAGCATTGTTTTTGAGTGGGTCCCCATTTTGTACCATTGCATTGTCACTTTGACAAAACAGCCTGAAAACTAAAAAATATCTGACAATATAAAAATAAAAATTAGAAAAAGGCAACATATGCAGACAAGTTCCTGCCGTTCTTAACACGTAAAATGTTAAAGTTTTTCTTTTTTCCTTGATATTACAGGACGAATGGATATTGATATAAGCCTAGTGGAGGACTGCAGACGACTTGCTAAACAGTGCAAGATGGCAGATTTCATGGATGAGCTGGAGAATAAATGCAAACAGCTGTATGAATTTGGTAAGTCAGTACTGTTGGTTCACATTTACACTGGTAATATGAGTGTTATCACTAATACACAGAGCTTTTTCAAATTGCCTCAAAACACTTTAAAACAGTGTAATGCCTTGTTAACCTCTTGACCATTTTTCCACAGCTTGGACTGACGTTTTCCACATGACTGATGTCTGAATGATGACTGATGTCTGTCTGTCACTCTTTCATTCTTTTCCTCATACTTAAGTGTCCAACAAGCCAGGAATCTGTGTGAAAGTCCTGAGCCTGGAGCCGCACAGCTGTCAGCTTCAGGAGGAGATGGCTCAGTTAGCAGACTGTGCACTGCCCACTGAGCTAAGAGTAAGGATAAGTTGCAAAAAAATGGAAGATATTTAACACACTATAGCTGCTAGTATTTGACAGTTTTAATGAGACTTTTGTGGTTGATTCTGCCAAGGTTGGATTTGGAGAACTTCCCTTTAACAGAGTCGACCGCTTCCCTACTTATCCTGACATCTGCTTCAGAGTCGATGGTTACAATTTCTTATGTCACAAGGTACGAACTGCAAAGTTCCCATAATATTCCACAGTTGCATTACAAACCCTCACACCCTGCCAAAATCCTGTCAATTAAACAATTAACATAAGAATTTTGTTGTGTGTGTCTCAAGGTGTTTTTCTGCGGGCGTAGTGATTACTTTAAAGCCTTAATGGAGGACCACTTCAGTGAGGGAGAGCAGCTGCAGTCCCAGCCCAGCACCCCAGTGATAACTTTACACAACATCTCCCATGAAATCTTTATCCATGTCATGTATTACATCTACACTAATGACACAGAGGTTAGTGCACAATTTCTGTCTGAAGTTTGAAGTGTTCATTTTGTGGAGTTTAAAATTTTAGTCTAAAAATGTTTAAAATTAGAAACACTTTCTTCTCAGGCTACCAGCTGGGGAGTCTAGTCTAGGCTATATAAAAACCCACTGTACACTCCCTGCTCAGCACCCAACAGATGGCAGACAAAGTGACCAACTTATATATATATATATGTATATATATATATAGTGTTTGCCGGTTTAAATTTTTTATGTCCACAATGCAATAAAATGCAACATTGTGTATATTCAGATTATATTCAGATTTTCACACTGTCTGCAGGTCTTGAAAATGCTTAAAAGGCTTGCATTTCATTTACAAATGTCTTAAATATTTTTTTGTTACCTATAAAATATTTTTACAACAACTGGAAAATCCCCAGTGCTATTGTTCCAGACCTCAGATAAATTCGTCATTTAAAAAAAAAAAAAAAAAGATTTACTCCATCCTTCCATTCATCCATTTTCTGCTTCTTAGCCAGTTTTAAGTTGTATTTAATGATGAATCATTAAATTATTAGGAATTACTGTTATATACTGCAGGGACAAAATTGACAAAAATTTATGCATTCATGCATGAACTTTGACTGGTACAACCATGAAACACGTATTAAACTGCATTCTATGTGGTATTAAAAGTATCTTGAAAAGTCTTAAATTTAATTCAATGAACCCAGCAGAAACCCTGTCTGGGTGTGACAGGGCCACAGCGTTACACCCAGACAGGGTGTATGTTTAACATGTCTGCATCCTTGACCTATGTAACATACCAAATATTTCAACTCTATGCATTTGCTAGTATAATCTATAAGTATAATATAATTTATATGGTTCTTGACTGTGTAACCAGTGATTGTCGACACAAACAAACTTGTGTAGTAAAGCTGTCCTGCTGATAATGTACTGGAGAACGAGTTTTTGGACTCTTTATGACCTGAAAAATTGCCATGAGAGTCAGAGAATTTTAAGCAATGAGTAACAACTTCTTAAACAACAATGGTATGCTTCTCGAATGCACAGCTTTATTGTTTGACACTTGACCCATTGTTCTTTATGTCCAGCTAACAACGGAGAATGTGTTTGACGTGCTGTGTGTGGCTGACATGTATCTGCTGCCGGGGCTGAAGCGTCTGTGTGGGAAGACGCTTGCTAAGACCATATGTGAAGATAATGTTCTGTACATGTGGAAGACGGCCAAGCTTTTCCGTCTGTCTCGGCTGGAGGATCACTGCACAGAGTTCATGGCCAAGATCATTGAGCGGGTGGGTGTCTCTGTCTGTGTTGACACTGGAATGGGCTTTATTTTGTCTGGATAACAGGAGTGTGTCTGGGATATTCAGCTGTTGGCTGAAGATCACAAAACAAATCCGAGACTTTTCCTTAAAAGAAGGATTTGGCTTTTTGGGAAATAAGCTTAGGTCACTGTTTTGTTGATACTTAACCAAGAAGATGGATACCACTCGTGTCTGTCCAGTATAGTAGATAAGGCTAGAGCCAGCAGGTGATTAGCTTTGCATAGTATAAGACTGTGTGCAGGGAAAAGGTTACTGTATGTATTCAAGAACACTACTACCTCACAAAAAATGTTTTTGGCCATGACTCAAGAATTCATTTCGTAATTATGACAAGATACACTTGATACCTTTTACTACATCTTTCAAAGTCTTCACAAGATATATGACTCTGGACAGACATGGATGCATACCAAGGCGAGGCAGTAATTCTAACTATTCACTGTCTTTCAAGTTGACCAGAATTCTTAAGCCATGATGGCTTATAGCTGAAATGATTTAGTTCTAGAGAACAAGAAGACTATTTATCTGTGAGCGCTGGCATTCTGTTCGATTTGATTAGATTGCAAGACCATGCACCCGTTACATTGCTTGTGTAGTTAGGAGCTGTGCAAGCTAGTACTGTCTAATGTATTATCAGAATTCTTGTATTTCATAGTTTAGCTAATGTAGAAATTCTTGCTCTTTCTATGGTAAATAGAATAAGATTGTAATTACCTAATTCTTAGAATTTTAACATATTTAAGACCAAAATATTATTCTAAGTGGCTTTGTACATACCAGGAATTAGAATAGAAGTACAACAAACACTTATACATTAAAGCAGTGTTTTAGTAAATGTTTTACTGTCATCATTGGTATCAGTTTTGGTGCCACTGATTGTACACTTCTTGTACATATACAGTATTATTGCCATTATGCCAAAAGTGACATTCAAGTCCACCCTCTGAAGTTATAATATTTTTGTTGTTGTGTTTGGGAACTACATGTGATAGATCTGTTTTCAAAATATAACAGCTCTGAGCTGAGGTTAATGATCTGGATTTTCTGGTCAGGCGCACTCAGTTCCCCCTCTGGATAAATTCATAACTGTGTACCTGTCGCTCCTGTCTGTCACAGCTGGTGGAGCAGGCTGAGTTTGCCGAGATCATCAAAGAGGATGCTGCGTCACTGGAGGAGCGACACGAGACTGACTCCGTCCCCTTAGTGGATGACATCCGCTACCACATCGCCAGCAATGTGCAGACGTACAGTGCGATCGAAGAGGCCAATCAGAAGCTGGAGGCCTTGGAGGAGTTGCTGTCCAGCATAAACATTGACTGTTGAAGGGTCGGCAGGTTGTAGTTTGTGGCTGTGGCTGCAGCTGCTGCGGAGTTTGAGGTTTTTAAGGTTGATGCTTTGGCAGGGGACATACATTGGTGAATCTGCGAAGGAAAAAAAAAAAACAGTATGAGGTGAGAAGAAAAACATATGCGTCTGTATGTTTGTAGTAGGTTTACAAAATATATATTTTGAAAGGAGCTGGTTCTGATTTTACAGAGGCATATTCAGAGACAGCTGTTTCTGTCGGCAGTTTAAAGTTTGTTTTAGTGAGATAAACTAAATCTGAGGAAAGATATCATGTTAATCTGTTGTTAGGTTTTGCAAGATGGGTTTTGATGAAACTGTGTATTATATATTTACAACAGAACATCTTTGTGTTGCACATGCATGAAATTATTTGCTACTATAATTTAAACAAGCTGTAGCTCTTTTAAAATGTAGTTTGGCCTCAACAAAATTCAGCACCAGCCCTTATAATGAACTCTATTTAATTTTATTATGACAGTATAAGAAAGCAGAACGAGTCCATGCAATGTACTGGCTCACACTGGACAGCTGTCGGTAAATAGAAGTGTGCATTCATTTCATTCATCCAGAAAATATTTTTAATTTCGAACTCTTATTTTGAAGTGACATAGAATATAGTTTTCTGATGTATTTGTTGCACAGAAGCAGTCAAGGTATTGTTGACCTGCCTGCAGCTTTTATTTTGTATTTGATTGCATTTGGCAGCTGTAGTTCACCTCACTATTCAACCAATGACATTCCTCTAGCGTGAATACTTACACTTACCCCAACGCACTTCTGCACTTAGATTTACCATTTTAAATGTAAGCAATTTCCTGCTGCCCTGTATAACAGCATTACCTCTCTTGCCCAGTGTGTGCACCAGAAAATAGAGCTGTTACTAAACTGTTTGCATGTCAATTTCACCGTCAACACAGCAAAATAATACAATATTTGATTTCAGAATGATGATGTCATCCATCTCTCAGCCTCAATCTGCTGTTAGGAAAATGGATAAATAACTGCGTTTGGTTTTGGCAATTAAACACTGTATAGCAAGCACGAGTAGGGTTTTATTCGACATATCTCATGAATGTTGAAGTATGTCATAGTGGCTTCATTTGAATTCATTGTAACATTCTTTTAGCCGTGTTAGCAGAATTGCTCTAGGGATTGCGATGTCGGCCGTTTGATCACCCATTTTAGCCCCACCCTGAGGTTGACATTTGTGGTTTTATATGCAGTATCTGAATAACTAACTAACTACACCAGGCATGTCAAAGTCCAGCCCTGACCAATTTTAAATGGCCCCCCCGCTTGTCTCTTAAAATATACTATAAGTGGCCCACCACACAGTATTTGTTGATGAAGCAAGCTCACTTTGCATTTTTCCTTTTCACCGATAGCACTGTCCTACAGTTCATAGACATCTCTACAATCCAGGTGGAATTAATGTTTCCATAAAGCAGACAAACAGGCAGCAGAAATTTGATGTTAGACTCAAAAAAGTTTGGACACCCCTGGTCTACGCGTTACCTCAGGAGTGTGCTGAAGTATCCAGGCTTCTTCCCTTCATCCTCTTCTGACGACCATATATAATTTAATTCAAATGTTATTTTGGGAAATATTTTCTTTGTGGTGCAAAGTTTATTTCAATGTAGGATAGGCTAGATAACAACCGTTAATGTAATGCTAATAGGTTAATAGAACACCTGTGAAGCAGAGTGATACATAAAAGTCCCAGTGTTATACTCTATATCAGCACTCATGGAATACCTTTTGTCCAATCAAATTACTTGGTCGGAACTAAATGTTGTTCAACTGTTTATACAGCAGCCTCCATTTATGGGTTGTTCACAGGAAGAATTGTAGTTGTTGACACTTAAATATGCTTCCTGCTTATTATGGTGTGTTATAAGCAATTTATTAAATGCTTATACTGCTTATAAATGCTTAATAGCGGGGTTGGAGTGTCAGTGCTATACTTTCTATTTAGTGTTTGTGTTGAGCAAATTAATATGGTTTAAAAGTTAAGTTTAGAAAACTATGGCTTGTTTTTTACCTTGATAAAGCCATATTTTACTTATAAAAAACCCCCAGAAAAAGTCTTGGGGAAGTTGTAAGTTTTCAGTACAGGGTTTATTAAATATACAATGTGAAATGAAAGTTTAAAAAGCAAGTTTTCCTTCCATTTGTTTCATTATTTTATTTAGAAAAAAATCCAGATATATTTGTGTGAATCTGAGTAACACTTTAAGATAAAGTTTAGGAAGCCACCTAAAGATGGCGCCTTTTCTCAGCTTATCATCACTGTGGCTGCAGTGAGTTGACTGTCACAGAATGGCAGTTTCTTGGAGGAAACACAGCTTTTCATGCATTGTGGGAAACAAATAAATCCTTCATCCAGGGCTCTGAACTCATGGGAACAGTATCTGAATGGGGCCGTTTTTTCAAATCACTCGTTCATCACAAGTTGATAAAGGTGCATTGAAGGTCAGTAAATAGTGAGGCACGGCTACATGTTTGCAGTGATTTAAATATGTGCATATGTTTGCGTCAGTGCACTTGCTCTGTAGTTTATAATTGGCGTCCCTGTGGGCTCCATCACTCTAATTTCAAAGAGTGTTGGAGGCGAAGACAAGTTGTATGTCACCTTAATGGAGCCCTAAGGTTCAGAACAGCGGGTAAGCTCAAATTCCACTGGGGAGTACACTGTGGAGCAGAGCTGCTGTTAGAACACATTAAAGTGCAGTTCAACCAAAACACTGAGGCCATCCTTTAGATAACAAAACCCTTGGCCTCCAGCCCAGCTTCTTGAAGGCTTACATGTTGAAAAAGGCACGAATAAACAACACAATTAGTTATTACCCCAGCAAGCTTCCTTTACAAATGTTTTATGGTTGTTGCTAAGTAACTCGGTGTGGTTTTGGTCTTGGGTGGGAAAGTCCAGTTTATTGGGTTTCAGACTGGACAAATGGAGAGTGTACAGGAAGATCTTGTATTTCTCATCATTTTATTAAATTTCCATGGAGACGGTGTTTACAAGCCTCTCAATGATAAAAGCTCGGTGACTCAGTTGGTTCCTGTTCAACAGCTGAAGACTTCTACACTGGCCCCAGGTCAGAGGGTGACAGAGTGAACCCTGAAAGCTGTGAGACTGGACTTATTTGAAACCAACCCTTTGTCAGTTAAATCAGACTATAAATGGCTCTAGGGATGTTAGTCAATCCACCACTTTGATGCAGACCACTTATTGACAGATTGATATGAAATGTTGACTATCCCCAGAGAACAAAGATCACTGACTGTGGTGACCCCCCGATTTTACCTTTAGTGCCACCAGCAGGTTAAAATCTTTGGCTTTTACTTAAATCTTTCAACTGTGCTATGGTATGCCATTAGGTTTGGTGTAGATACCCAAGATAGGCAGAGGATGAACCCTATTGACTTAGTGATCCCCTGACTTTTAATCTAGCGCCATCATTATGTCAAATCTTTCACTTATACTGTGAAAATATCGCTTCAGTTTATGACCAAATACCTGAAACCTAATGACATTCCCAACATCCTCAGCTGTAATTTTTGTTTAGTATGAGTCAGTAAATGTTAGCATGCTAACATGCTAAGCTAAGATGTGTTGAAATGTCACTCAGAGCACCGCCTCACAGAGCTGCAAACACGGTCGTAGACGCTTAATCTTGTTTTCTCCACCTTTATTGCCCAACTTCTCTGTTGTCAGTGAACATGACTCACACCCGAATCTCGTGGTCATTTTATTTCTTGGCACAGCAGTAAAAACATTCTTTGCAGCCTGTCAAGCAATTAATCAGATTGCCCCTTTGGCCTATGTGATATTTTCTAGGATAGTTTACAATGGGGGCCCTTAATAATGTCTTTAAATATAACTATCAGTCATTGTTTTTGATGTTAATTGTCATTCTCAGCTGACATGAATCAGTTTATCTGATCCAGAGTCATCTGATAAGAGTCAGATGTTTGATGGCATGAAATCTGTGCATCCTCCATCAGTGACATCAATGCATGTTCATCCAATACATATTTTAACTAACTAATTAGTTGTGTTTCAAATCCAAACAAATCTCAATTTCCTTTACAAATCAATGGCAACATACTGGTTTGCAGTTTTAATATATTCAAATCAAGTTGCAGCCTCCTTTAAAAATAGGACACTGACTTGTACTAAAACTAATTTTTTATTTTCTCTGTCCAGTTTATGATTCATATGTCTGTCACATGTCCTGTACAGTCCTTAAAAACAAATCTTCTTGACGATTTCCATGTGTTTCTGCCAAAAAACAATATAAAAATCCTGAAGAGTGCAATAAAGGGTAAAATTTCTTGGCTCTTGACTCATGCCACCGTGTGACTCACTGAGGCTTCAGTGTGACACTGTGACGTCTCCTCATGCACGAATCTGCAAAGACGGAAATCTACCAGACAAATGGAGAAACAGCTCCGTTTTCTGCTTCTTCCTTCAATAAAGGTATTATCTGCCTGGGTGTAGGTTTAACTCCTGGGTGTGCAGGGCTATAAATACATGGGCCTCTTTTGATGTAGTTTCTGGTAATAAAGATCAGTAGTAGGAGGTTTGGTTCACGATAACAACATGTTAAAAATAGCACCAGATTTTGCTCTCTGGTCGCCCGTGCTGACTTATTCTGGTGGTTTCTTATGCTGCATCAAATTTCACCTCAGGTGCTACATGGCTGACGTGTACAGAACATGCAGAGTTGTGTCGTTCATACCATCTGTGCGCATGTTTTTCTAGGAACAAACATTCTCTATTCAACCATGAAGTTCTTCTATATGTGGCTCACATGTAGGATTCATTATATTTGGAGCAGATGGAGAAGGCTGCAGGTGGTTGGACATAAAGCTGATAACATGAGCTTTGTTGCAAGTAAGATGTGATTGTTTTTTCTATATATATATATATTTTTTTTTTTACTCGAGTTTGTCCATTTTATGCAATTTCTTTTACTAATAATTGGCTACATTTCATTGGGAAATATTGTGCTTTTGCTCCACTACATTTATTTGACAATTTTGTTATTTGTTACTTTTCAGATTCAGATTATAAATATAAAATATGATCAACAAATAAGTTGTGAAGTATTATCGTAGATCAAGTTATACCCAGCAGTATGAAAAGTTTAAATTAACCCCACCTTTACCAACTACAACGTTCAAGTGATGTACACATGAATGCATGATATATAATAATCCAGTAATATTATATAGCCTACATTATTCTGAAAAAAGAAACTCTGCATAGTGAGTACTTCTACTTTTGGTACTTTAAATATATTTTAAAGGGATGTACTTTTACTGAAGTAAAACCTTGAATGCATGACTTTTACTTGTACCAGAGTATTTCTACACTGTGGAATTGATATGTTTACTGAAGTAAAATATCTGAGAACTTTTCCCACCACAGAAAAATATTCTACAAGTACAGCTCCTGTATTCAAAATATTACTTAAATAAAAGTTCAAGTATTTTCAGCAAAAGTAAAAGTACTTATTATGCAGAAAACTGGCCCCTGTTAGTGTTATGCTATTATACATCATACTACTCAATTATCAATCAATATTATTATGGTTGTTTTAATGTTGGGGTGAAGGCTAATTTGCACACCTTTCTATACAGTGGGATAGTTGAATCTGTAACAGCGAAAATATTATACAAACTGATCACATACTATGTGTTGAAAATCTTAATCTGTAAAGTAGCAACTACAATTGTCAAATGTGGAGCAGAAGTATAAAGCAGAATACAATGGAAGTACCAGAGTAAATGTACTCAAGTTACATTTCACCACTGCCTCTGAAAATATATTAAAAAAATATGATACATTACTGTACTTTAAACTACCAGTCAGTGTATAACGTGGGAATTAGCTCCACCTCCACCAGCTGTGAATTGAAAATGCTGCTTACACATTACACATCACTGGTAATAACCTAATAATATATTGTATTTTACTACAACATCAATATGAGCCATTTATTTTGCATAATGAGCACTTTTACCTTTATTTAACTACTTTTTGCCTATACTGCCATACTTTTAATTTAAAAAAAAAAAAAAACCTTTGCAAACAAAATTTGAAATAAATAAAAAGACGTAAACATAAAAAGATCATTGCGAATATACATCATTGTATACATTATAGTGCAATGCTTTACATTGTGCTATACTCTTACATAAGACTGAATAGTTCCTCCACCACTGAAGTAATCCACAATCTCTATAGTTTACTGGATGTTATAGTGTGCTCCTACCACACAGTCTATGATTTTAGCCATAACTGTGTCGTATTCTGTGACAGACAGACCTGCACATTTGCGACCTTGTCCCCGAGTATTGATACCGTACGTCCTCCCAGACGACGGAAGACATAACTCACTGCTGCTGTCACTGCCAATATCCTAATTTGCTATTAGTTAGGGATTACCAGGAAAGAGAGAGAGTGGTAAGCCCATACTTAGCCAGAGACTGACCTGAAAAGTGTTGGCTCTCTCTCCCAATCCCTCGTATACACCACTTTTATATTTCCATGACTGAACATGCAAAAAAAAACAAAAACAAACAAACAATAAACAATACTGACACACAGTATAGAAATGCAGTATATTGTAGTTTTAGTCCTAGTTTGGCACCACAGAAAGCCTGCGTTTACATTTCATTAGACGGTCTTAGGACTTGGGCCAGTGTAGTGCAATCCCAGCCAGCCATTATGTAAGAAATGGCACAGCAAAGACAACACACACACTGAATTAAACGACAGGTTCCCGCCAAGAAGATCTCTTTATAGGATTGTCTTTAAACGAGAGAGGTTCAGCAGCCAGCCGCTTTCCCCCACATTTCCACTCTCATGTCATGCACATACCAGGCTGAAGATGCCTATAAAGTTTCCTAAAGTCAGATTGCTGCTCAACCTTATCAACCAGGAATTCTGTTTATCTTCCTGCTGTGTGTGACAGTCAGATGTTTACACTTAACATAGCCACGGTAATATGGGATTAAGCCTTATATGCTCCCTTGAAGTATTAGCAGCCGGGACACGGACAAGCAAGTGAGCAGTGGTCTTATTAGTCAGCTTTGACAAAGACAGCAGGCTCTGTGAGAAAGCTGAGTAAATATATCTGGCCCTTGCTTACACAAATCCCAAAAACAAAGCATCCCTAGCTGCAGCACATGTAATCTTAGTGGATTTATTCATCAGATAAATGTCTTAGTGTTCATATCATTCTTCATTATGTCTCTATCTTGTCTGTATGTTTGTGTACAGTAAAATGCTCCACCTGAGGTGAGTCACAAGGTTGCCGGTAGAGAACACAGCCAGCTCTGCAGAGAGATAGAAACAGCGTCTGCATGTGAGACAGGATTACACTGTTACCATGTGACTGGTCTGACCTTAGACAGACCTCTAACAAAAGACCGGCTAAATCTATCCAGGACAACAACCTCTGGCCCTGAACTCTTCAGTGTAAACAATCAGATGGTCCTCTGTCACTAGATGCAGCAAACCTGCTGGGAGGACGACAGATCGTGACCTTGGAGTTATGAGCGTCTGTATCTGCTAGGGCTTTGTTGATTTTGTGTTTTAGTAGCTGACACAAAATGAAAGTATTAGTTAGTCAATGGGGTTATAATATCAGATATTTGCCCACAGGCAACAATGCAGATCAAAACATTGAATAAGAAACATGTAGAAATGTTTCTCTGTTAATACAATGATGTTTTATCTTACCTTGCAAGATGTAAGGTTGTCATTGTCAGTGATACACTATCGTCATTGTGCGTCTGCTGCCAGTGGCGTAGCACAAAAATCTGGGCCCCTTACATCTGCAGCCTCAGTGGGCCCCCTTTCACTTTTCACTAATCCATCCATAGTAATTATTAGTATTTATAATACATTTAGAAAATCTGCACAATCTGAAAACTCAGCATGCTTCAGTCCTCTTTTCTAAACATAATGTAATCACTGTTAACCTTCCTACAATGAGGAAGGATTTCTGTATTTCACAATAAAAAACTGGAATCATGTTCAGTGGCGGCTGGTGCTAAAAGATTTATTATAGTTATTATAGCGCAGATTTATTATAGTTTTTTAATTTTACTTTTTTTTTAAAAAATGTTTTAATTTCTTAAGTGTTCCAGTCTGATTTTTCATTTCAGTCTAGTTTGAGGAGTGCATTAGTAGTTCTACTATATAGTCTACAAAACCATTGTTTATCAAAGATCACATATTATGCAATTTTCTACACCTTCAAACCAATCAAAAAACAACACACTAATGCTGCCCAAGCTCTGGGCAGAAGCACTGCAACAGCAGCATACAGAGTCCCATCCTACAGCCAGCAAGCAGGTAACAGTGTGGAAGTGATTATGAAGTGTAAATGCACAAATTAAAGTAACATAAAGAGTAAAGTGTTGATAATATAGTCCAAGTGAAGTCTTGCTTGAGTACTGCTTAGTGATCGGGGCGAGTACATAGAAGCTGCCAGTATTTAGGTTTAAAAACATGGAGTTTCAGTGTGGACAGTGGGCAGCAACAGCTAACATTAAGTCAGTAGCCAGAAGCACTACATGAAGAAAACTAAAAAATCTCTCCTGCACATTGTTTTTGACATCAATATAGCGCGGCACAAACACAAGTTGTGCAAAAACCATTATTCTGAAGAGGATGTGCCGATTTTTTGTCACCTCTTCATTGTGCTTTTCTATTGCCAATCCTGTAGCCCTCACCTAACTAATGCTAAGCCTGCCAAAAAAAAGCAGGCTTCAAACAATTGTCAAGATGGCGTCGGCTACTTCCGGTCCAACCCCCGTCGTTGTCCACAACGTTTCGGTGCCGACACTTAAAAAAAAAAAAAGCAAACAGGGACAGCAATAAAAGTCATTACTTACAGCATCCAGTAAGCCAGCTCTGTTCGTCATGACAAGAGCGGGAGATGCCCAGAGTGTAAGCCCGTCCTTGATCACCCGCCTGCTCCTTAATGTTTAAATTGGGCTGGTCCGGTCCAATCTCTTTTATCCTCTTTTTTCTTCCAGTGTACGTCGTGTAGAAGGATGTTTCTATAAAGAAATAACAGAATTGTTTTTCTCCGCGGGCCCACTTGAACTTGTCATCTTCTGACAGCTCCGGTCTATGGAGCAGGAGTGAGCCACAGCCTCAAATATGGAAATCCGTAGAAAACTGTCCAATCACGTTAAAAGAAAAACTTAAAACAATTACGATTGGCTTCTAATAAAAGAAGGGGTGTCTGGGGGGGCACTTTGCGCCAATTACAGGTCAG